AAAATTACATCGGCAATACGCATTTCAGTATGGTCATTCCCTCAAATTAAGCTGGATATTATTTCATTTAACTAGAAATATAAGGGCACTATGTATTGACTGCTCGGAACATTATATATATCGAAAATTCGTTTAGTGTTACTGTAGAAGCTTATCCGATCAAATGACTGGCCGCACAAGACAAAAGATTCGCTTTTATTGTAACTAATGTCCGGAAAGAGATCAAAAAGATATATCCCGAACTATCGAGGCGAGAGAAATGCACAGAAGTTGCGCAATCAACCTAAAATAATCCGATACCGAGCTTGTCTAAATTTCTATCTACTTTATAAGGATTCCTTTTGCTGACTATTTTATGTTTTATTGGAAGCCCTACGGAAATTTACCGATCCAAACATTTCGTCACGATTTAGGTACACGTTTGCGTTCGGTGGGTACGTTTGACAATGCCTTTGTAATAAAAACAAGGACGAAAATGTGTTTTCCATTTTAGCAATTTGTTTCTGAAATTTGTTTTCAACGCACGCTTCGCGGTTTTACATTGAGGTTTTATGGATCGATACTTTAATTAACTTACAATTAAGCTGGGTGAGAGAATTGGCAGATTTAAGAAATAAAAGAGGTAGAGATTTTAGAAATGATCATGAACTTTCACAGCTGTTTTAATTCTTTTTGAAACTAGTATTACATTTATACTGTTATAGTAACCTATTTCTTTAAGTATATTGATTTGATGGTGGGCACTATGCAGTAAATTTCATGCGATAAGTAAAATTGCTAATCGTACTTCTTTCAGTCACGAATTCGGTTATGACAGTTTCGTCAAAAACGTCCCTATAGCAACACAGTTCCGTATAAAAAGCGTTTATTATAAACAAAAACCCTACGTATATATAATACGGATAAATGTCGATACATTCTTATAGGAATGTTATGCGTTTATTTTTTTCATTGCTATACGATTTATATGCGTATATGCGTAAACGACAGTGGTGTTATATAAATTTTATATAAACGAATGCTAAAAAACCGTTATTTATATACGTAATATCAACGTAGAACGTGAATTCTATGGTTTATATGTATGACAATTCAACTCATGTATAAAAAATCGCATAAGCCGCAGTGCAATTGTCACTTTGACAGCGGCAAAAGTTACCTGCATCTTTTCCAGCGACAAATGCACTAGTGGTTTTTTCACTATTCATTTTCGAACCAATTATCGCATTATCCTTTCCCATATGACTAGTTTGACGTCTGTCAATAATTGATTAGTTTCGTGAATTTCTTGTTCGTTAAATTGTCCTACCGAATTACACTCTAGGTTTGTATTTAAACCGAGTAAATTTGGGTTGTTGCAACTCAAATCTGTTTCCTTTTAGCAATTGAACTCGAAAAACTGTCAACCTAAAAATGCTCCACCTGCGGTGTCGCATTTTTATTAGTTGACAGTTTTTCTCGTCTATAATTGCTAGGCAACGGATTTTCATTACCTAAACAACCCAAATTTACTCGGTAAAATACAAACCTCTTGTGCAATTATAAGTGAAAAAATCGTATTTTCAACGTAGGTATAAAATTCGTCTACCATACTACCAATATCGAATTTATCCTATCAAATCGCTTTAAAACCGTTTTTTAAACGTGTTAAAAGTGTGTTTGCTGGGGTTGTATGTAGTAATATCCTTGGATTATAGGATCATTGCGTGGCTAAGAATTCCTTTCTTCTTCGTTACATCTATTCTGTTTTTTCTGTATTATTGCATAAGTTATTCCAATCAGCAATTAGTTGATTGTTTAATTGATTAGTGGCGTGCCATTTGCAATAAATGGCAAATAATTTATAGATGAAGAAGAGAGGAAGTTAATTTAAAAAAAAAGAAAAATTTACGGATAAATAAAAAATAAAAAAGCAAAAAAAAGAAAAGACAATTTTTTTTTTATTTTCATAAATAGTTTTAGTAGGGCGATGTCTGAAAGTTGCAGTGTTTTTACACATTCAGGCAGTGAGTTATATAAATTACTAACGGTATATGAGAATGACTTTTTAAACAAATGCGATTTATGGATTGGGGGAGTGATAAAACTTTTGGATTTTTTTGTCAAAAAGGTAATTCGGTTTCTTAGTAGTTACAATTTTGTGAAATAGAACTGATGAATGTAGAACTCTTCTGTTATATATATTAAGCTATTTAGATTCAGTTAATTTCTGAGAGATACGATGGTGTTTCTTAATACCATATATGAGTCGAAGGCAAGAGTTCTGCATTCGCTGAATTCTTTTCACATCAAAGCTACCAAGACACGGCCCATACACAGTATCGCAATGATTAAAGTGCGACAGTACAGGAGACTCACATAACATTTTCAATTTCTCACTTAGGAAGTATCTTTGGTTAAAAATAAGCTTCAAATTTATATATGCTTTCCATCATAAAGAAGTATGTTGGAAAAATTTCAAAGCTTCATCTAAAACACTAAAATCAGGCCCAGATTTTTGGGAATTTCTTTCACAAGCAGAGCCGAGCCTGTCACCTTAACATCCACGTTCTGTTTAATTAAGTTTCTGGCTTTACGTTGGCCAAATACCATGACTACGGATTTCTCTGCATTAATTTTAAAACAGTGCTTTTCAGAAACATTTACAAGAGCATCAATGTCAGAATTAATTAATTTATTAGCTAAAGCCACATTATCAGGTTGAAAATCTATTTGAAGCTGTGTATCATCGGCATATAAGTGATATGATTTCTGAAGTTGCACGTGTACAACGAGTATAGTAATGGGCCTAGATTAGATCCTTGGGGCACCCCAGCTAGGCAAGGAGGTAGAAATCGTTCCATTTAAAATTACCTTTTGAAAACGGTTAGTGGGGTAAGATTGCACAAGTTCCGCAGCAGTGACACTAAATCCAATAAATAGCAAGATACTAAACAAAATTTTGTGAGAAATTGTGTCGAATGCTTTAGAATAGTCTAACATAACCAAAATGGATGTTCTATTGTTATCGACAGCAGACAGTATATCATCCGTTATATTCAAGAAGGCAGTAGCACAACTATAACCTTTCGTATTGCAATTCCGGTCTCTTGCAACTCATACACGATACTTTTATTTACCACCTATCTATTCCTACCTATAAAATTCGTTCCATAAATAAATTTTTGTGTTATTCCACTTCACTTGAGTCCCGAAATTGCAGTTTCCCTACCCCTAAAGAATAATAAAACCGATTCACGAAACTTTTCCATACGACGAGGGGTTATTAACCTATTAATAAAAATGTTGATCGCAACGCCTTGCAAATTTTTTACTGGCCCGAAAAGATGTAGTATGAATACCCCTAGCAGCGAGAACAAGATACTAAGAAACAAGATAATCATTAATCAATTGTTATAAGGTGTTGAAATTCAGAATCCATACCATACTGGTACTCTCTGATCACTGGTCTACGGCATTTTTGCGCATGGGACATACCTATACAGTGTTATTCATTTAGAAGTAGACATGAGGATTCTTATGTCTACTTTTAAATGACAAAAACCCTTCCGAACGACGCCTAATCTTATGCAACCAAAATAACATGCGCACACATGGAATACCACTAGCAGCGAGCACAAGATATTTCATTAATCAATTGTTATAAGGTCTTGAAATTCAGAATCCATACCATATTGGTACTCTCTGATCACTGGTCTACGGCATTTTTGCGCATGGGACATATACAGCTTATTCATTTAGAAGTAGACATGAGGATTTCTTATGTCTACTTTTAAATGACAAAAACCCTTCTGAACGACGCCTAATCTTATGCAACCAAAATAACATGCGCACACATTCTTCACTGTCATTATATAGTCCAGGCAACGAAGGAAAAATAGTAAATAATTCTTAAACGGTGGCTCATAGCATTGAATTTTATTCAATGGTATTACTAACTTTTTGAACGAGTGAACAACGCGCGCGGAGTTTTGCTCTATGCTAGAACAATCTGGCTCAAAGACACTCCGCATACATGTAAGCGGAAAAAATCGCTCGGGAGCGGAAAAACCGCTCGCGAGCGGCGCTTGATCCTCAGCGCTTGAGGGCGGTTAAAAGCGCTCACGAGCAAAAAACGCTCAGGAGTGGAAAAAGCGCTCGGGAGCAGAAAAAAACCGCTGGCGAGCGGAAAAAGCACTCGCGAGCGGAAGAAGAGCTCGCGAGCGAAAAAAGCGCTCATAAGCGGAAAAACCGCTCGCAGGCAGAAAAAGCGCTCGAGCGCCGAGCACTTTAAATAAACGCTCAAGTATCAAGCACCAAGCGGTCGCTCCGAAAAGTGTTCGATCCGCTCGCAAGTGCTTTTTTCCGCTTGGAGCGCTTTTTCGACCGGAACGCTCGCGAGCAGTACCCAGTAGATGGTGGTTCTCTTCTACACAATATGAAATGGAATTTTTTGCTATGGGCCACCGTTTAGCTTTGATAAATCACTTTTTACCTAGAAAAAGAATTGTGTATTAGCTTCACTGTGTTACATGTGACAACCCTTCCCAGTCTCCCCTATTTATTATTATTTTTAGATTTACACAATCTACAACACGAAACATTCCTATTTACCTATTTATTTTTAATTACGTATTCTATCGTTTTGCGGATGAAATCTCTTTATTTAGAACATTTGCTGTGTAGCGGATCTCCTTTCTTTTTTGTAGTCCATAATGTTTTTGCCAATTAGCTTGTAAAGTTTCTAATTTTCATGAAATCACAACGGACATGCTTTAATGAAATGAGTACGCGGTCACAAAATTGTAAATTTGCTTTCATTTGATACTGTAACTCAGTAAAAGGATAATCCTATCCGTAAGTAGATAATCTACTTATCAAACGGCGATTAATAATCATTTGTGGGTAAATGGATAAATTACTTCACCGCCTACATCTACTAATTTATTATGGAAACTGGTTTTAATTCTTGCCTACTTTAACTTAACACTGTAAGATACTTAGATACAGTTTTGTTGTAGCAATTTGTCCATCTTTAAACGAGAAACAAAAACTACTACAATGGATCGACTGGCATCTACCCACATCTTGGTTGCACTCCAAGAATTCAGCTCTGGACAATCCAATTCATTGCTGGACAGATGGATCGTTGTTGTGTAATTTGATAAACACGTACATTCCAGGAGCGTGCCCAAATCCTCAGAGTCACAAGCATCATCCGCCCTCTCATGGCCAAGCGCTCGCTTATAAATATCTGGGAATTGCGCCGGTAAGAATAATTCCTACATTTCACTTGCTGTTTTCGATCTCAATAATTTTACAGGTTTTCACAGATCAAGATTTTGAACAGGATGTTTTAAGTCAAAATCAGGAGTTGGCGCTAGTTCAATATTTAAAAAAAATTCGCGAAGCTTGTGAACAAGAGACGAAACCAGCTTTAAAATATTCGTCAAATTACGTTGCAAAAGGAATGGGATTGTTTTCTGGAGAGGAAAATCGCAAAATGGCATTTTACATTTACGTTAATTCGTCTGATTATTTCAACGTTGACGATATCATTGTTAGTATTCAAGCTCCAAGCGGCGTTTATGAAACTCTACGTATTCCTTCTACATTCATTGAGCAGAAACTGTTATTCTCAAACAAATTCGCATATCAATCGCACAGTGAGACCTTGCTATTGAAACCAATTTCCGACTTATCGACGAGCACGGAGCCACAAGGTAATGGACATACTAGAAAAATTCCAATGACATTTTCAGTAGAAGAAGACAGAATAAAAGTTACATATATTCCAAGAAGTATGGGGATTCACGAAGTGTCTATCATAACCAGTGAGTGTCATGTCGTCGGATCACCCTTTGCCGTTAGCATTTTGCAAAATGTATCAGGAGTATGTGAGGACTTTGAATTAAATTCCTTGCCAACCGTAGCAGTCAGAAAAACCATCAAGAGAACAATACTATCCCAAACTATCGACTTACTTGACCTTGAGCCGGTAAGTGACCCTCACGAACCCCGCAAGGTTAATCACGTGGTAGAGGAGCACATTGAAATGAATTACGTCACGAAAAGCTTACAAGCTAATGAAACTTCCCCAATATGCGAAGATCATATTGCGTACGAAGTAACCACAAACCACAAATCTTCCTTGATTCCGCAACGAAATCCAGAAAAGATTTTGGATAACGGCAATAGCATTTCAACTCCAAACATGCATACTACTTTAGACGAGGAAAGATCTTCATCACCGAGCAAGACTGAAATTCAATATGAAAATGGCAGCAGGGAAAACGCACTAAACATCTTAAATTATCTACCTCACCTAAAATATGACAGATCGGTATCCTGCAATGAACTCAGTACATCACTTGAACAATCGCTGAATTTAATCGACGATGAAGACTGCTTTGAATTCAAGAAAAAGCTTTCCTTTTGGGAGGACAGATCAAATTTCGGCACTATTAAAAAAAAACTAAAACAACGCAGAAGTCTTCCAGACCTGCTTTTAGGAAATGCTAGTGGAGAACTTTTTGAATCGTACGATAACTCGGAGTTTAAATCAAAGCAAAAGTATTGGAAGTTCTTAAGCTCGCAAACGATAGACTGCATGGAAAGCACTTCGTATTATAGTTTACCAAACGTCTTTACGCATAGGGAGAATCATGCGAGATACAGATTATACCCCTATTTCGATAGTATGGATTTCAAAACTAAGTTCAAGGAATGTAGAGAGTTTTGGGAAAGGTTAAGCACGCAATATTGTTCAAATGACTCTTTTCGTATTATGCCGAAAGCGTCTAGTGAGCCAGATAGTGGATTTGAGCATAGCGAAGCATTTGAGACTCCTCGTAGTACCAGTCCCTCTGATTTGGACGTGAAGACATTTGATCATTCCGTTTTTCACGAACGTCAAGTTTTTTGGGAGAGACTAAAGCCAAACAGGTACGATACAAATCAGCTCAAGCATGACAATAGGTTCAAGCAAATGTCACAGCGTACACTGAATAATAAGAGTAAAGAGTACCACGGAGCACAATTTGTAAACCGCAGTGGTAAAGAAAAGTGCTTTTTTAACGAGATACCATTAAAGAGTGAGGATAGAAATCTGACAGATGATTTTAAAAGTTTGGGCGGTACTAGGGAAAATATGAAAATGAGGTTTTATAAAAATAAAGATTTTTTTAGATCACTAGAGGGAAGCATTAGATAGTGCACCTACTTTCTAATCTCTACCTTCTATTCAGGCACCTTGATTTATGAGATATAAGATGTGTGATCTTACATTTTCTTCCAGGAAGTACCAGAAACTTTCGCCTTTGAGTTATGTTGAGTATTATATATTATTTGGCAACAGTGTGGCTTAGTAATAACTAATAAATATAGTTTTTGTACAAAATATAGTTTATGCTCGAAATTCTTAGATATTTCCCATCGGCAATTCAATAGTACGTTAGTTATCCAAGCTAAGTAAATATATTACACCCAGAATTTAAAGCCAAATGTATTAGCGAGGTTTCGCCCTCATCTACGTATAGCTTTGTTTACCGTTGTTTTCTATACGAGATAAAGCAGAAGCATATTGTTACTGAAAATGTTATTGTTGGAAATAAAGGATTTAAAAACAAGTACCTATCATACTTTTATTTTGAAGCAGTGTGAGTGCCATGCTTGCTAATTTTTGGTATATAAAATTGAGGTAAGTTTTTATCAAATCTGCCTTCTTTCTGCTCCCAATTGCAAAAATTGAAGGATTAGTGCAGTGTGTAACGTAGACAGTTCACTATTTGCATTTCCATATGAAATAAGCCATCAACCAATAAAACTAGCGAAAATTATAAAAACAAGTATAAATTGTGCACAACTCTCTTATTGCAGATATAGCGCATTTTTTTAACCGAAATAGCTTTTGGTTTGACATCACCAATGGATATATTTCTTGCAGACGTCTCAATCGCCCGGGTCACGATAAGAGGTCGAGGAGGAGGGCTATGGTTGGTAGAAATTAATTCCTTTCGTTGAGACCTTTCATTAGAGTACCATATGAAGGATAAAACTAGTTCCACTCCCCTCCGCCCCGTACTTTGATAAGAGGACAGAAAGAGGGCAGTAGTTGGTAGAAAACGGTTCCTTTCGTTGAGACCTTTAATTAAAATACAATGACAGATAAACTTAATTTTTAACCCCCCACCCCCCTCAGGCCCCGTTGCGCACTGATCTCGAAAAAGAGTCGTACGGGAAAGTTATAGTTTGTACAAACCAATTTATTTCGATGAGACCTTTCATTAGAATACCATGAAGGGTACAACATGTGTCCCCCCCCCCCTCTCCCATTTTCCAAAGTTTAACTTGGCACCACTAAAGGCATGCGTATGCAAAATCTGAGACCAATTGGTTGTCGTATGTAAAAGTTATGCACGTTATACTTTCAAAAACAGCATCTCAGGAAATAATTCGTGGGAGGGGGAGGGGGGGCACTTTTAGACAGTAAAATTTGATGGCCGTCTGGCTCACCTTCAAGGTATACCAGGGCCATTTGTAACGGTCTACTAGAAGTAGTTTGAAACGGCAGAAGTCAGAAGTGGGTCCGGACGTCAAGCAGGTCTCACATAAAGTCGAAGAACTTGTTTTATGTCTTTCATGAAAATGATGGGTGTAATGTTAGGACCTCGGTTAGGACGTAACGACGGATTTTTGAACTGTGCATAGATAGCGAGAGTCTATTCGACGGTGCATTTTCGACAATGACGAGAGGGTAACCAATGAGATTGACCCTTTCGGTCTCCCCATCCCCAAACGTCACCGGCAGAATAAGTACATCAAAATATTTATTTACAGTTTTGTAATGTCACAGATAAGACTATGTCACCAAAATTTAAACAAAATTCTTTGCGTAAATACCCGATAAGTTTACAAAAATACTATTATCAAGAACAATTTTATATGGACGGTTTGAAAAATCTAGTCAAAGTCCAGTGTTTTTGGTTCTAACCTTGACCCCTATTTCTTCTTTGTCTAGGGAATCTTGTAGTAATTATCGTATTGGGATCGATTGCCTGCAATAACACCGTTCAAATTTTATCACATAATATTCCATTGATATTTTGATGTGCGAAATACACTCCTGGCTCAAAATAAATCTCACTTTCGTTTAAATACTGAATAGCATTTCTTAAAGCGTGACACTTCCACGGATTGTGATCAAAATAAAGCTCTTCAAGAAACTGCGCTTGCTTTAAAAGTTCAGCAACGTCGATTTCGGTCACTAAATTCCTTTCGAACTTCAACATTTCCACTACAGTGTTATTAAGCAAGCTTCCATTTACGCGTGTAATAAAGTTATTCGATATATCGAGGTATAATAATTCCACTGTATTACGAAACAACCCCTGACGCAAGCACTGCAATTGATTTGACTCTAGATTCAGCATTTGCATTTCAGATTGATTGTTGAACAGGCCTACAGGTAATTCTGCCAAGTCGTTGTAACTCAAATCTAAGCCTATTAAGTTAGTTAAACAAGCAAACGCATTTTCGGGCAATGATTTTAGTGAATTTCCCGCAAGGTTTAGTTTTCGTAAATTGTTTAAACCGTAAAACAAATCCATCGTAACTGTAGATATCATATTCCAACTCAACACTAACTCTTCGAGATCCAGTAGGTTATGAAAAATAAAGTCTAGTAAACCAGTTATTTTGTTGGTGCCCAAATCCAGAACTCTTAGAGATGTCAAGTACTTGAATACGCTAGAATCCACTTCGATTATTTCGTTATTAAAGAGGCTCAATTCCGTCAATTGCTCCATATTGTAAAAAGCCCTTTTATCGAGACGCTGGATGTGCGAGTTACTTAAATGTAGCACTTTTAACCTTGTGAAAGAAGAAAATAGGCCAAAACGTAATTCTGGCATGGTGGTGTTCCATCCAATATGAATTTTTTCAATTTCCTGAAGGTTATTGTTGGGTTTTTCATTTCTGTACGCTTTAAGTTCACCACACTGAATAAACTCTTCGCCTGAACTAAGATGATAGAAGCATAAGTCAAACGGACCATTGGCACGTGCCTGATGGCATTTCAACAGAAATACAATTACGAGAGCAGCTATCTTCATGATGAATTTTTGGTTCTCATTCACATACTTCATGGTGGCGAATGGTGAACGAATTCTCTTATTGCAAAGAACGGAATCGCACTTTTATCAGTCTTGGGCATTATGCAAGAGTGGCAACTACGTAAAACAGTAATCTTATGTATAAACAGTCTAAACAATTTAAAATGGACTTTAACATTATTTCACTATTATTCTTGGTAATTATGATTATTGATCGGTTTGTTTTTGTTTCCAAATGAAAGAGAATCGTCTGTTGACGTAATAGCATAATTATTGTTGAAAGTCATTTCACACTATTGCTAATTTTCATATTATTTGAGCAACGAGGACGGTTAAATTAATTTTTTCGCAGGATTATGGGTTATCGAGACATTTTGAGTAAGTAGTAGATTTTTACATGATTCTTTCGAAAGAAAATGAAATTCCGGATAAAAAATCGTTAGTACTAAACCATTCCGTGAACACATGAAGATAGGTACAGCACATTTACATGAAACATGTCTTAGAATGTTCTGGGGAATCCGAACATGAAATAATATGTACGGATATTTATATAACTCTCGCCAGGAAAGATTGCCGGTCACAGAACACTTGATCCCGATCTACAATCTATGTTTTTCTTAAGATGTGAGCGACTTCCGGAATAGGATCGTGCTAATGTTGAACGAAAAGTTTTTTTGTTCAACATTGACACGATAGTACCCCGGAAGTCGCTTACATCTTACGAAAAACATAGATTGTAGATCGTGATCAAGTGTTCTGTGACCGGCAATCTTTCCTGGCGAGGGGTTTATTATGTGTTAAAATATATGCAATTCAACAGCAAAATCGACGGGTCCGAGCGCATTTCGGACCACGAATCCATTCCATTTTTATTACATTATTAATCACAACCCTGTATATTAGAAGTCATTGCTTTTGATCTTTGAACATCGATCCACATATCCACAGGTAAGGTACGTAAAATTTAAAATGTCTAAAGTGAATAAGCAAATTATGGTTAAATATTTTGCATAGTATTTTGCAAGCTTTATAGGGGAGTGTCCGGCTGTCCGTCCGCCCGTGAACACGATAACTGTCAAACGCTTGGACCGATTTGGTTCAAACTTTGCACAGTAGATCTATATGCCACATGCAATAAGCCTATTGAAATGGTTCAAATCTCAAAATCCAATGACCCCTTGGGACCACGCCTCTCTGTCTCTGCCAAACGCTTGAATTTTAGATGCTCTTTAGGGGTTTATTTGTAGTCGTAGGTAATAAAGGGAAATGAGATCGAAGTTCTACTTTTCGAAAATGCGCTAAAAATCTCAATAAATGTAAAAGTTGGCATTGCGCAGTCTGCGCATGCGCACATCAATCATGAAGATTTTTCTCGGTTAATGTGTCACAGTTGAAAGCTACCGAATGCCAAAAGAACGAACTAAATATCTTGAAAACTGTAGGAGTAGTTATGGCCTCGTACGGAGAGACGGACGGAAAAAGTGGCCTTAATAGCTCCTTCCAACATACGTTGAAAATGCTCTAACCCGTCTAAAGATACCAAGCGCGAAGCGACCGTAGTACTCCAATAGAAAAATTGTCTGTATCTGTATGTATCAAACAGGAGAGCGGAGGAGGCGGATCGTATTATCTTTGTATCTCGCCTTGTATATACCGTGTATCTCAGGTTGAACCAAAGACTATTCTCCTAGGATAGTCTTTAATTATACATACATAGGTACATAATAAATATAAAAGGTAATTTTTGATGACAACGGCTGTCAAGTTTTGTCGCGGGTAAACTCGAAAAAACTGCTGACAGGTGCTGTCATACAGTTTTTTCCATCTAGAAACCGTTTGTGATTGGTAAAAATTAAGGCGAGGGAAATAGTCAAAAATAATCTATTAGTCCAGTCAAATTAGCTCTAAAAGTAGTATAAACTGGATGTTGTCATTTCACTGAACGAAACCAAGCGTATTCTATTCCGCTGAATCGGAAAATCATAGTCCCCCAGGCCGGAAACGCCCGGAACATATTGTTATAAACAAAAAACGAAGAAAAAATGGGAAAATGTCGTGTTTTTTCACATTTGACTGCCAATATCTCGTTAACTATTGCTCTGAGGGAAAAAATGAATAGAAATGAACTTGTTTAGAATAAAATTTTCTATAAGATACAGTGTTTTCAATTTTTTTATATGTATAAAAAAATTGAAAAATTTATATGTATAAAAAAATTGAAAACACTGTATCTTATAGAAAATTTTATTCTAAACAAGTTCATTTCTATTCATTTTTTCCCTCAGAGCAATAGTTAACGAGATATTGGCAGTCAAATGTGAAAAAACACGACATTTTCCCATTTTTTCTTCGTTTTTTGTTTATAACAATATGTTCCGAATTATAACCCTAAAACAATCTTTTTCAATAATTGTCCCGATGATTCCTGCAAATCGAGGGACTGTGCAATTTTTTTTCAAAATCCGAAGAATTTTCTTAGTTAACAAATGGAATAACTCCCGAAATATAACAACAAAAATATAACTCTATAATAGGCGAATGTAAAGCTCTCGGAAAGCCGTACATTAAAAAAAAATACGTCCAAATCCGATTAATAGTTCACGAGAAATCAGCTTTTGACTTTGAAGTCAGTTTTCGAAACAACCAAAAATGATTTTGCAAATCGGGTCGCACCCATCGATTCTTTACAGCGTGAACTTTTTTCGTGTTTCTATTTCACCAAAATGAATGGTTTTTATTAAATTAAATTAAAATTAAATTAAATTAACTTTTATTCTAAACAAGTTCATTTCTATTCATTTTTTCCCTCAGAGCAATAGTTAACGAGATATTGGCAAATGTGAAAAAACACGATATTTTCCCATTTTTTTTTTTTGTTTATAACAATATGTTCCGGGCGTTTCCGGCCAGGGGGACTATGATTTTCGGAATCAGCGGATTTTTTTACATAGGTTACGCTTGGTGTCGTTGAATGAAGTGACAACATCCAGCCCAAACCTTAATTTGACTGGACGATATGGGTTTGTATCAGATGAACAAAAATGTGTATGTAGGCAACACACTATACATTTCAATCGTGGGCCATGTAAACGGTACCTGTTTCGTAGTCTATACCTAAGTCTATATTCAATGATCGGAAGAATCATTGAATAAGTAATTATAGGAAGAAGTATTATTCTGTTTCAAAAATCGTATACAGATATTTGAGTCCGCCGCTAGGCGTTTTCGAGGCTGGCGTTCGACTTAGCAAGTGAATGCGTTCAGTTTGAAACAATTTCGGGGTTCTAGAAGGTCCCTGCACTTGTCAACGGCACCAAACTATTATACAAATTTGTAGGTGGCGGTAGTAGGTTTGTTACAGAGTCCCTCTCTGGCTGCTATGGCGTCTCAACAAGGTGACAGGATTGGTAGATTTCTTGGGCGGATGCCCTCTTCACCGGATTGGACCGAGAGGTCCTTCTTCGGGTTTCCATCTAAATGCCCTGATGGTTGAGACGTGATGTTTCCTCAATGAGGTGCCCGGATTATGGGTGGCTATACGAGGGTGGGTGCGGTCTCCGCCACAGTAGCTAGCAGAGGATGTTGGTTCGTTCCTCTCGAGGGATTACTTGTGCTGTTCGAACCTCGGATTCGGGTTAGTGCCGCTATAGAACCCATCGCACGAAGCCCACTGGGGCACCATCGGGTTATTCTAACAGTCGGTTATTTTCTTAATTGCGGGGTCTGCGAGCTGTCCTTTTCTGATGTCCTGTGGTCGATCGAGACGAGACAGATGCTGAATTGTTGTCCAAATTGGAGCGCACGGTGGTCGAGACTCTGCTACCGCGTTAGTTTTTCCCAGGATGTACTGAATTTGCAGCTGAAGCGGTTGTAGTAAAGAACTCAACGGGATAGAAAGCCGCTGGATGTTTTCAGCCCCATTAGCAATCGGAGAGGTTGATGATCCGTAGCTAACGTCACCAGTTAGCCCATACATCTATCCTCGAAACTTTTCTGTTACCCAGACGACGGCCAGGGTTTCCCTTTCGCTTGTTGAGTAGTTCCCCTCTGCTTGAAGCAAGAGGTGGGCTGACGCACTTGCCTTAGTGTTGCTCGGGTCCCTTTCCTTGGGAAAGCACAGTCCCGATGGCGTTCTGGCTGGTGTCCATGTGTATCGTGAATGGACTACTAGAGCCTTATTGCTGAAAAATGATCGCTGGCGTGAACTTTTAGTTGCTCAAAAGCTCTCTGCTGGCTCTCCCCCTATTCCCACCCTTCATCGTTCTTTAATACGGATACGCGAGGTTTCGCGACTGCAGCAAGTCCTGAGAGGAGAGGCCGATACAAAGACCAGGTGTGCAGGAAGGTCATCAGGTGTTTGAGGTTATTGGGTGCGTGCATACGTAAGGTGGCGGTGGTTTTATCCGGATCTAAAGAAACTCCTTGTGGTGTGATGAGGTGTCCCAAGTATTTGACGCGGGAGCACGCGAAATGGCACTTTTGTCTTCGCACGCGTAGTTGAAATTGACCGTTGAAATAAGCGGTCAAAGTAAATCAAATGTTGGTGAAAGTTTCGCTATAGGATGGTAAGATCATCGAGAAAGGCGAGAACTACAACTTACGGGGTACCAGTTCGAAATCGGTCTATCAGACACTGAAACGTCACGCGAAGATACAGTTCTTGCAACATGAGAACAGCAGACCTCACACCAGTATTGCGACCACGGAACTCATTGCAAAATTTGATTGGACTGTGTTGCCATATCCACCGTACAGCTCCGTATTGCGCCTTCGGACTTACCTACATCTCTTTGGGCACTTGTTATCCTAGACCCTACAATTCTCACTGCTGATATTGTAACCAAAGCTGGTAAGAGGGGCGCCGATATCAAACTGTGCTCGAAGAAATTTCCGTAAATCATAAAACTGTGTATAATAAATTGGACCAATGGATTGGTTAAGTTTAAATACCTACATCGCTACAGCTATCTGGAAACCGCATTGTTTAGTTTTGAGAAACATCGTCCTTTCTTGAGCTTTTTGGGAATATCTGATGCTTGATTGTTTCGTAATCGTGTAAGAGAAACAGCTTCTTTCTTAAAGGAGGCACTGTTTCCTAAACCGAAAATTTTACTATACATCTTATTTATTATAGTTTTTAAACGTTTTGTTTACGTGTATAAAGCGGAATTGATACTTACAAATAAATATTAATGGACACAGAGTCTAAGGTCTTCTAACTATTCTCAGTTTTAGAATATGTGGTGCATTTAGAGAACGAAAATTTTTTCACGTTATGTATAAGTATAACATTGTGTAATTAAAGGTTACACGAACAAGATCAACATGAATATATTTGGAATATTTCTTTGCATAAACATCGTCAAAAAACAAAACGAATTCTTCAAAGTAACCGTTCAATTCTAAAAAGAGACCACATTACTTAGAACTGCTGCGCATTACATGTATCACTGTATCAGTGACATTTCACACACGTAGTTTACTTGGAAAAAATTACATATAAAAGTAGATATCGTAATAACGTCTCAATAACAAGATAAATAGTATATAAATAGTAAAAATACTTATTTTCGTACATGATTTGTTAATATTGTGGACTCATTAGTGCGTGGTTCAGTTCCATAGTCTGCTAAGGTAAGCCAAAAAAATCAGAATTCCAACAAAATTGGCTGTACACCATAGTCACAAATCTACTATGTAATACCTACTCATCATAACTTTGGTTACAGAATGTCCATGAAAGCGTTTGTGTTGTTGGCGCTAGCAACACTCTTGCATAAGGCCTCAACGGAGTACTGCTTTTATCAACAAGGCAAAGAGAGTAATGACAGTTACATACAATGCGAATACGCGGGAACAGACGAACCGATTGAAGGAATTAGTTTGATACATCTTGAACAGAACACAACAATTCCGATACTTAAAGGAGAATTCTTCGCACCCTTTCCCAATTTGAAGACTTTGTTTATGACGGCGGCCAACATTCGAAAAATCGAACCGGATGCGTTCACAAATCTCACCCTGGAGATGGTCGATTTGTATCACAACAAATTGGAAGTTCTGGAACGCGGCACCTTCCAGAATCAAACAAATTTGACCTACATGGACTTGAGCTACAATTATTTTAAAAACTTGACCTCGGCGACACTATCAGGGTTAACTGCCTTAGAATGGTTATCAATGAATGGCAACCAAATTGAATTAATCGAAGCATCGGCATTGAACGATTTGGTTAATCTAAAGGCCATTTATTTGAGATACAATAACATCCCCAGCCTACACGTGGACGTTTTCAAAAAGTTAACCGCCCTAGAGATTTTGGATCTATCAATGAACAGCTTGAAAGTAATTCCTGACCAACTACTTTCTGAACAAGCACATTTGATTACGCTGTTATTGGATTTCAATGCATTGGAAGAGATTGCTGAAGGTGCGTTTGATAAGACAACCGCATTAACGTACTTGGATCTCTCCAATAATCGCTTGGAGAAATTGCCGGAAGACCTTTTTAACAACACAAAGCGATTAGAGGTCTTAAAGGCGAGCGATAATAGAATTGCAACCTTCAACTATACTGTACTTTTGAGTAAAACTCCGTTTCTGCGTGAAGTGCATCTTTACAATAATTCTTAAGTTTATATTATAGACTGCAGTATGGCTGTTTGTTAGAAAGTATTTATAATTATTACATAATTTAAATATCTTTCCTCGTTTCGTTTAGTGACGCAGTCTAACAACACAATGTGACAAGGAAGCTATACTGTAACAAGCAAAGTAAGTATGGTATAAAAATCCATAGCCTCTAGATCAAAGTAACTTGCACACAATGCTGTGAAACGCACTTTGTGCAAAGGTCGTTTAACAAATGCAACGGTTTCAGGCCGGTATAACTCAGCTTGTTATCGCAGGCTGCCATAACGTCTTGGGTCAGAGATAGTAATAAATCTGCCATTTTTAATTCTTCAATTTTCAGAGGGAGATCATCCTCTGACCTATCTGGGGTCTATATGACCTACGTCGCAAGTTATAATACTTTCTTTGGCCCTCGAACGCCTGGGACGCCACCGGTCAATTGGTGCGTGTCTTCCAAACTTCGAATTTCCTCTGCCTGCCCTTGAGGCATTAACAGGGCGCCTTACATTATCCGTCGGCACCTCCAGCCTCCACAACGACTAAAATCTCGATATTGACCTAAATTTCATTAACTTGAAAAATTAATCAGGCTTAACAAATTTTGCATTAACACCTGATGTAATTCAGGGTATACAATAGGTCGTAATTTGAGTTCGATTAAACACAAAACTAACCATTTACAGATTAAACAAATTACTTTGGCATAAATACATCTAATAAGTAAATAAGTGATATTTTAACCATTGATTGACCTTCACGAGATGGTTAGTTTCCGTTTATCGTAGTGCATAATACAAAACTTTATTTTATAGCAGAATCTATATAAATCATTGTAAAGCTTCTGAAAATTCTGAATTTAATTTAGAGACGTCAAAAATAGCAAGCTTAGATTCTGCCGTCGCGATCGTTTCCATAGAAACAGAATTGTCATATATTCTGAACGTCATTTTATATCGTGCATTTGAAACAAGAATGACAGATGTTATTAGAATGCACAGTCATCTGTTTCACTTTATCTACCCTAACGGTTAAAGTGATTACTTTATCTATCTTTACGGTTAATGAACGGCTTAGCCTACTCGTTCAGACCTATTAAAATGTCAATTTAATTATTGATTATGTAATTAATTATTAATTTAATTATGCTATAAAATAAACAATATATTATCTTAATCTTAATTACCTTTTTGAGCGATAGATCATTTCTGAATATTTACCATGGGTGTTTCCATGACAGTACGTGGAATTTACCAGTTGCTATAATTGCGACGACGGCAAAATTACTTATCGATCTAAAAACAAAACAACAAAAATACTTACTGACACCTTTTTAAAAACAATCAGTTCAAAATGAACAGTCAAAGTTTTACATTACATTTAATTTTTAATTATTGTTACATTAAACGTACAATTTGTGCTGTTGTGCTTGTTTCCTATAGAAAAAACACATTCTTCATTTGAACCTGAAGCAAAAGAGATCAATTCAATGCAGGGGGTAATCACCAGACCTAAAATTTGTACAATACTTCCCCTTCGTGTGAAGTCCTTCGGTACTTGCTCTTAACTTCCCTATACTTCCCCGTACTTCCCCTTACTTCCCAGTACTTCCCCTTACTTCCCAGTACTTCCTTGTACTTCCTCCGAACTTTCCTAGTACTTCCCCCAAACTTCCCTTGTACTTCACCAAAATTCCACTGTAAGTAGACGTTGATATAGACTTTAAATTTGCTTTTTCAATGCTACCCGTATAGTAACGGTTATAAATAACGTGTCCATAAAAATACATTGCATGCGAAATGCGAATCGATGTGAAATGAACACTATACATGAGATGAAAAATTAGATAAGTGTTAAATCATTATTTATTTTCTTACTTTCTTACTATTACCATTGAATAATAAATCTTATTATTCAATGCTATTACTTATTTAATATTTAGGTACCTTTGTATTTACATGAGGTTTGAAGGAATTTTTAATATGAAAGAAATTAAGACATAAATAGTTATCCGGCCAGCATTTATTGCTAAATTTTATAATAACATATGTACGGAACAATAATAATATTCAAGTATTATATCCCAAGTGCACGCCAAATACCTGAATATTTCGAGAGTGCACGTAGTGCACGAGCGAAATACTCATATCTGGTATTTGGCGTGCACGAGGGATATACGGGATGACTATTGCCCGACAAAAATTTTGCAAGATAAGAAGAATATAATGTTTGTTTCGATCCTTTCAAAGACATGGTTTTTCAAAAAGCATCATGAAACCGAAAATAAGCATCAGTTACAAATTGTAATTTTCGTTAATAAAATTTGGAATTATTTATTTAAGTTTCATGTTAGGTATTTGCACATAAGCAATACCCGCGGGTATTGCACAAGTGCATGAATACTCGAGGATATTTGTCTGTTGCTAGGTGATTTCTGTAATATGCATTAATATGATTGGTTGAAATTTTCTGAGGGCAATAGTCATAGATAGATACTTAACAATACTAATTTATCGGTAATCACGCAAACCGTTACCTAAAAGTATTCCCATTAGTAATTGAAATCTGAAACTGTGCATACTAACATAGTTTTTCATGATCTATCGAAAGAAAATATTATCATCACTTCCAGTTTTACCGCATGTGGATAGCAACTTTCTTATTTTAAATAGAACACCCTATATTGTATTTCCGGCATCTACATGAACATTTACGTCGTTTGTTACCACATTTCCCTATACCCTATACCCTATTCCCTATACACCAAAGGTTTTCAAGCTATTTTTTCAAGATTTTTCAAAATTTATCTTTAAGTCATTTAAAGGTTAGGGATTGACATTATTGATATTTTATGTGATTATATGTAATAGTACATTATATACCAAGGTAAAGTCGCGAATACTGTCGATACGGTACTTAATTCACAGAAATTTCTCACATCGCTAGTGATAGTATTCCAAGCATGTTATGCCGCTTATTATTCATAAAGTTTACCTGATTCCATGTGAATAAGGGTTATTTGTGTTTTACATATGGATTTATAGGTTATACGGTTTTCATTTCCAATGTCTCCGATGGTCGCAGGGATTGCGAAATCTGTGAATTTTGTAAATCGTTTACGGTTACTTTAGTAACTTGTTCCTTTACGAAGAACTAACATGATCCCCAATATCACAATCACTTCCAGCAGAAACCAACCCAACTGGTATATTCATAGTTTAATTATTGGTTACCCAACATCCTCTACACGTGACAGAATGAAAAATTTTATGACTCCGTAGTCCGTATCACCCTTAAATTAATACCGAATGGTGCTATAAACCGAAAATACTTCGAATACGCCAAAGTAACCTACCTCCCTACTATCATGGTTATTGGTTATATTACCTTTCTCCACGCTTATTTATAATAAACTACCTACTCACAAGCGTGGTGAATGATCAAACTGTATTCAAAAGTAACATATAAACCCATAGACTTAAATTGACTACTACCTGTGTACACTAAAGAATGTACGGAGCAGTGTTGTACAAGAATAAGGAAGGGGCCATTCTACAATGACATCGAGCAGAGCCATACGGTGTACTGGGTCCTAATTTACAAAATTACTGAAACACAAAATACTCTAAAATGTTGGGTTTCGTGATGCAAATAAAAACCTACCAAAGATTTAACTACGGGTCTTCACTTAAATATCTTGCGCGAATGACTTAAATATTTGGGAGAGATCACCACTGCATACCATGCACAACACGGCACTATATACGTTCATAACCATGTTCCCATGGACCATTGATCTGAATATGAATTCACATATGCGCCACTTAATATACTGCTCGTTAGAAATGAATGTATACTATACGGTAATAAATATACCTTCCCCATGAAATTTATTCTTGTAGAAGAAGATTGTTGGAGAAGGTATATTTATTAAATTTGGATTAAATTTATCTATTGCATAATATTTGTGAACTATTTATGTGCTTATCTGCATACAATTCATTGTTCCAGTGAATCATACAGCACTAAATGATAACAAATAAATCAGAAATTTCCTGGTAGATTATACTTCATTTGTCAGTTGTATGTGGTTTAATTACTAAACGTTTTGGAAAGTCGAGGTAATAAAGTGCCAGTGCAGTTAATATAAAAAAAACATGGTACGTAATTATTCTGATATGATTTGAATTGAAATAGTTTATTGACTTCATCCAAGTAACCGTCAAATTCTCTAAAAATAAAATAAAAAAGTTGGCAACTGGGCATTGTCCTTATTTTATTTTTATTAACCTTTATCTTTGGTGAAAGCCTACTTTCTTTTATTTCAGATTGTGCCAACATATTTTCTCATGTGCCTGGTTTATCTGTTTGTCCATAAATCCACCGCCAGTTGCAGAGTATCGCTAGTCAGATCCATCCACGGAGAGCATAGGAATATTTATGACCGGTATGGAAATAATAGGGGATGTTGCCAATTTGTGTACCCCGTTCTAAATTCGTCCGCCAAATGCTCTTACATTTCATTGGCAAAAGGTCAACACTTTGAACCATTTGTTATTGAAGGAAAGTCGGAGGATAATGATGACTATTTTGAGGTTATACCAGGCTTTAACCATTTATCTTTTGAACTCAGTCGTGTACCAACTATTTCTGTATCCTTATTTGCTAATTTTACAAATATTACTCATTTGTATATGAACGCAACACATGTAGAAGAAATTCAACAAGGTGGCTTTAATGGCTTGGGAAAACTCAAAGTGTTGGAATTGGCAAACAACAAACTAACTGAAATATCTCGAGGTATATTAAACCATTTAACAAATTTGCAAATTCTCAATGCATCGCATAACCACATCGACTTGATCGAAAGCAACGCTTTTATGGGTCTACTGAATTTGGAGGAACTTATATTAAGTTATAACAATATCAAAGTATTGCATCCCAATACCTTCCCACATTTCCAGTTTATATTAGTCATCGACTTATCGCATAATATGATCATTGAGCTTCCAGAGAGTGCATTTCAAAATAATTCTCAATATCAAGATGATTTATTTGATCCGATGAAGTTGGACTTATCGCATAATAACATACAAAGTATTAATACCACGTACATTCCGATACCACTAATCAGTCTAAGCCTGTATAATAACAACCTTACCGAATTTGAATTCCTCAACCTTGACTTTTTACATTATCTATCGTTAGGCAGTAATAATTTAAGCAACATATCTGAAGTTTATGAGTTGCTAACGTATTTAGATTTGAGCAGAAACAGAATTTGTGACTTAGACCCTCAATTGCTAAAAGAGAGTAAGTTTCTAACTGTTCTTGATTTAAGCTCTAATTTCATACAGAAACTTCCTGATGACATTTTTATAAGCTTGACAGTTTTGCGTAACTTGTCTCTTGATAATAACAAGCTCGAACATATACCGATCGGTTGCTTTCACAGTTTATCTGCTTTACAATTTTTGAATGTGTCGGGGAATAGAATTTCGGAATTCGACTACGGTACATTTTCGGGTTTAAGTAGTTTAATTACGTTGGACATTTCTAATAATACATTGACTTATCTTTATGAAACTACCTTTCATCCTCTTCTGGCGTTAGAAAGCTTACGTTTAGATTATAACTTTATAACAACTTTTGATCCGTACTATTTCACTGAGCATCTAAAGGTACTAAATAACGTTTCCCTGAATTTTAATCTTTGGAACTGTAAATCATTGTTAAATATCTTCACTGCTTTAAAGTCGAAATCTGTGAAAGTTTTCTACGGTGAAGAGAAAAGGCTACTTAACATACATGGAATTGCTTGTACTAAGCAAAATGTTGAAAGTCTAGTCGGTACGAAATCACCACAGAGTGAAATTAACGACGATATACAAGGGAATTATTTTAACGCGTTGTTTAATGAGAACTTTATTAATTCCAAGTTTTATCAGTTCTTCAAAGATTTTAGCAATTCTCATTTTGAGGAACAAAGATTCCTAAACGAATTTACGAAGACTTTCTCTAAAATATTAAATGAGTACAAGAATTCAATGCCAAATACCAGCGTCATTCAGCAACTGAATGACACCTTGTCAAAATTCATTGTCGAATTTAAGTCACTTCCCAACAAGCTTGACAACTATAGTGCACGTGACTGGAACCAGCTACGGCAGGATATCTATAGATATTTCACAGTAGAGCTAAAAAATATTACTTCTCAAAAGCTTGCTAGTAAAGAATCAGATTCGTCTACATTACCCCAAATAAACGTGTTGAAACAGTTTTTAAACGCCGATTTTAAAAATTCCTTCTTTTATAAGTTTTTTCAAAACAACGATTTTTCAAAGTTTTCTGCAAGTGATCAAATTTCTGCACCCAAATATGAAAAGTATGTTGGTGGCGATGATCCCGTTATAACAAAAATATCATCTTTACAAAGTGGTTTAAATACCTTACTGGCGATTATATTAATTGTATTATGTTGCTTGCTGGCTTTGTTTCTAATTAAAAGCTTTGATAATCCTTTAAAGAAGTTTAACACCAGAAATGTGGTTGGCATGCCAACAGATTCTCATGCAACACTGGAATTAATTTGAATTTATAACGATTATTTGTACACGTTTTAAATATTGTTATAATATTGTATCAAAAATATAAAAATATTTTTTCTTTTAATTGCCTAATTTTATCCTAATCTAGTGTCTCACAATAAGAAATCTAGATTGTACGTAATATAAGTGTACTGTGACAACTTTATATTCTTTAAGAAAAGTGCCAGAAACATTGTTTTCCTGCATCCATAAGAGTCGATGTTGACGAAGCGTCATACAACTATACCTGCTTTCTGGAACGTTGGCTCCTGCTACAACTTAACTCCTGCGTTTTGTTGTATCGGTCGTACCAACCGTGGAGATAAGGATGTAGGTTAATTCGAAAATCGAAGTTGTACCTTATTGAGACAAGAACAGTTTCCACTTTTCCTAGGCCGTTAGTATTACAACAAGGACATGCCCTTCCCAATAATGCCTAACATAAGGATGCGAGTAGCTTTACCAATTGTAATCTGTATCTGTATATGTCAGTGTCGTATCATTTAATGCAACCGTTGTTTTTATCTTTTCAGCATTCGTTTAACCTTAGGGTTCATCGAAGTTGACTTCCACAGAACATTTTACCCACACCTCTCTGTGCTGCCTTGGACCTTTAAAGATGGGATGTGATGGTCGAAGATCCATGCTGCTCTCTTGATTTAAAAATCGCTCCGATATATTGCTCTAGCCAGAATTAGATTTGCAGAGCTTTTCGAGCTCCGCTTCACCACTGTCGCCGATATTGTTAAAATGCCTCTGTGATTTTCATCTCCCTTATGGGCTTGCTCAAGCTCAAACCATACCAACCGGCCAGAAAAAGCACTTGTCCTATTAAAATTCGCGGCAGTTAAATAACACCAAAATTAATTAACTTTATTACAACCGAAATATTTATTCAGGAAAGTAAATTGTCAATCAAATTCGTGTCAAATTTTCTCCACCCATACATTACCCCCCCCCCCCCCCCAGACACGTCAAAGGCGAAGCGAATCGAATTTGTGGCCTAGACGTGCGACCGAATCCTGAGATGGAAGTCCTGTTATAGTGGCGATCTTTGTGGGTGATGGTACTTCTGCGTCGCCCGAAGCCTAACTATGTCGTCTCGTAAGAAAACATGCGAGCAGGTTTTAAGATCCTTGTGTACAAAGATGCGATGGTTCCTCCGTTCCGTTGGTAATGATGGGCGTAGGTTATTCATGAGACTCCTTAGATGCGTTAAAAAACGATCGGTGAGGTATTCGGCTGTTGCAAACTCACGAACATTTCTCCAGGTAGGCGTAAAGGACTACCGTACAACATTTCTGCTGGTGATGCTTGTAGTTGCTCCTTCACCACGGTTTGTAATCCCAAAAAAACAGTTGGTCAACCCAAGTCTGCGGATTTTCATGACCCATTAACGCTGCTTTTAAGGTACGGTGCCATCGTTCTTGGATTCCGTTTGCTTGCAGATGTCCTGCAGCGGTCTGTTCCTAAGAGCCGAGTTAACTCGTGAAAGAGTGACGACTCAAATTGCCGACCTTGATCGGTAGTGACCTTGCGGGGACATCCAAAACGTGAAATCTAGGTGTCGTAAAACGCCTGAGCGACAGTTTCAGCGGTGATGTCGGTTATCGGAATAGCTTCGGACCATCTGGAGAATCGATCAATCATCGTCAGTAGGTACCAAAAACCCTTTGATGGTGGTAAGGACCAACGATGTCTAAGTGCACATGCTCGAACCGTTGGCTTGTCACACCAAAAGGCTGCAACGAGCTGGCTATATGTTGGTGAGTGTTTGATCCTTGACACGGAATACATGACCGAACCCAACGCAGTTCGCGTTGGCCTAATGCCTGGGTGAGCAGCGTTATGAAAAATTGCGAAAATCCTTTGTCGCAGAAAATTTGGAACATAAATTCTAATCATCTACTTCCGGAAAACTAAACGGATTTTTGTAGGAGACTCTGAAGTTCCCTGTCGAACTTTTGATGTTCGTATAGTTGATGTAAGGTGATTGCTGTTGGCACTGATATTTCTTTTAACCGTGGCAAGGCATCGGCAACAACGTGGTTTTCGCCTCGAACATAAATAATTTTTGCAACGAATTGTCCAATCATATCTAGCTGCCGTTGTTGCCTAGGCGACGCTTTTTCGGGTTTTTGTTGAAATGCGTAAATGAATGGTTTGTGGTCCGTCTGAACTATAAGATGTCGGTCTTCTATTATATGTCTAAAGAATTTTACCGATTCGTAAATCGATAATAATTCTCGATCGTACGTACTATAGTTTTTTTGAGATTCTGGTAATCCGATGTTCCACGTACTCCACTTCCGTAGCTCCAAACTGGCACTTGGCTGGATTTATGGCTATCCCGTTGTCTTATAATCGTTTGAACAAGATTTTTAAGTGCTGTAAATATTCTTCTTTGTTCACAGATGCCACAAGAATGATGTCTATGTAACAAAACCCGTAACCCGTTTAGTATCTTGTACATTTGGCACCGGATAACGATCAGGTATCGTCAATTAATTTAGACGTCTGTAGTCGCCACAAGGGCGCCGCCAGACGCCTGCACTTTTCTTCGGCACCATGTCCACGGACTACTTGATGCCATTGATGCTCCAACATAAACTCAAATTCAAAGTTTGCTGCTTTCAGCTTCTCGGCTGATAACGGCGTGGTCTGTCAGAGATCGGTCCTCCTTTTATTAAGGTTTGGTGGAAAACGCCGTGTTTATTCGCGGGAGGTACTGGAGTTACTCTTATGCCTGAAAACTCTTTAATTAAAATTGTAAATTCATTATTACGTATGATGGTACTGATGGCTGTAGATGGATCCGACACTTTTTGCCCATAACTCGATATCGATATGATCGATTAAACGTTTTTTGCTTGAGGTCGATAAGCAATCACCACATCTTTTTTAAACATCGCCGACACAAGAAAGTAACCATGTTACACTTATGACTCTATCAGATTTGACCAAATTAAATAGTTTGGCAGTAGTAGTCACGATGTTCTGTTATCCATTTGAAAATGGGTACATTGGTTTTGATGCTAGCTCAATTAGTATGATAATCAATTGCCTAACTAATAGATTGTAATATGTGAGCACGGTTAATGAAATATCTGAATCAAAAGTGATAAGTAGAGGCGTTCTACAAGATTCTATTCTTCGACCCCTTCTTTTTAACATCTGCACAATCCCATATCATACACAAATAAATAATATAATAGGAACATTTGTATGTAGGTTCAGTTCAATGTTGATTTACTGACTAAAAATTATATTCACCTGAATATTATATAATAACAATCCAATCCCGTTAAAATCTGAGATGATTAACTTAGGATTAACTATGGATAACAGTTTCAGGTTGGGTACATTGGTTTTGATGCTAGCTCAATTAGTATGATAATCAATTGCCTAACTAATAGATTGTAATATGTGAGCACGGTTAATGAAATATCTGAATCAAAAGTGATAAGTAGAGGCGTTCTACAAGATTCTATTCTTCGACCCCTTCTTTTTAACATCTGCACAATCCCATATCATACACAAATAAATAATATAATAGGAACATTTGTATGTAGGTTCAGTTCAATGTTGATTTACTGACTAAAAATTATATTCACCTGAATATTATATAATAACAATCCAATCCCGTTAAAATCTGAGATGATTAACTTAGGATTAACTATGGATAACAGTTTCAGGTTTACATCTCAAATCAATAAGTATGTGAGGACTGAGGAGAACGGATGCCACCATCGTCACTATTTACCACAGAAAACTAAAACTATGATCTGTTAGTAGGTCCCTTGTACTGGCACAGTTTTCATACTGTTGTGAACTATATATGTACTATATCACTCTTTTATTACGCAAGATCTGAGTCTAATTTATGGAATAGGTACGCAAGTTTGATCGGATCTCTTGTAGTGTTTCAGATGCTGGGTGGTTGAGTATGAAAAACAGCACTTTACTTTGCATAAACGCAAGAGCCTCAGGAAGAGATCGACATTTGACTCCGATTAGTCGGTAAAGTATGTATCATACACATCCGCCATTAAATACTAAGCGATGTACTAATAAGTACATTGCTCAAGAAAAATTAATGTAAAGAAACTATTTTAGGAGACCTTCTTGGTTTATGAAGCTCAAAAAAACGAAACATCTTTTGCAAATACTTAAAATATCCTTAACATTGACTTGACGTCATCAAAATTGGGCCATTCCTTCTAGGTAAAAAGTCACAGCAGCTTATCCGAAATAAAATTCCTTTTCTTTATCTCTGAAAGTGATAATGTAGGTTAGTTAACTTTGTAGAGCTGCCAGTGGTTTTGTCTTGTTTTCAATTATTGTCGTCGTGGTAATGATAAAGATAAAAAGCCGCAGAGATTCTGATATCAATTCTTCTATTTGTCTCCACTTTCAAATATTATATTCAAGAGAACTGAAATGGTGCATATTCTAAGAAACATAATGTGCGTGTTACCAATGGTATGTTTATCTTTTTATATTTTTAATTTAATTATTACAATGAAGTTTGAATGTTCTTCAATCAATGACTTACTTGGGTTCTTTCGCATTACCGTGGCTTTCTGATCGGTCTGTCGTTGGTTTTTTGTCACTCGTACTTTGAAGCAGTCACCTGATGAATTTAGAATGTAGGCTTACAAACGCCATGTTGCCGATTTTATGTATAAATTAGTTAATTATGGTGGGCTGAACCACACCCACGTATTGTTTCTAGGTTTTGGCAATATTCATCTTGTATCAATTTAAAGGACTTCAACTGTCCTCCGTCTTCTAAAAACTAGAGAAACCTTGTTGTCTTTATTTAATAATATTCATAGGTAGCCTACTGTCTACCCATATTAAAACGTACAAAATTGTGGGAATTAGAAAAAAAATTTTCAGCAACCAAGTATAAAAGAACGATGGTTGTGTAGTAAATTGAAGTACATTTGCTTTAAATAGAATCGAGAAGCGTTCAAGTTATGTAGCTTATGCTTGATGAATGACTCCATTTCGTTAATAGGTCTCTAATGAATGGTGAAGGGTATTATTGTGAACTACCTATTATAATAAATTTTTTCCTTTAGGCGATCGATTTCGACATTTATTGTCATCATCAGGCCGTAGCTAAAATATACATACAGGGTGACAATTTGAAAACTTACCACCCCCCATATCTTAGTAAATAAACGAGATATTTAAAAAAATCAAAATCCGTTTCGGTAATTCGAAGGGGGAATCACAATGACATAGTTGGCGACGCACCCCCTCACACCCCCTGCGCCCTAGCCACCCCAACTTTTAAATCTTAAATAGGGACTCCCCATGTGTGATACGTCATTGGAAAGCTCTGAAAAAATCCTTTCCAACCATACCAAATAGCATTACATTTAGGTTAGTAATTATCGTGCAAATCAAAAAATAAACATGGAAAATCGTATTTAACTTGAACTTCCAAAGCCGACTCGACAGCAACTCATTTTTGATCGCCAGTTATAATCTATTCTCAAACTCTTGTCGAACCTTTTCAAATGTTGGTTTTGCAATATTTCGACATTCTTGAATTATTCTCTGTCTTAGTTCGTCTATGTTCGCCGGTTGCGTTTTAATACGACAGATTTCAAATGTATCATATTAGTTTATTTTTTGATTTGCACGATAATTACTAACCTAAATGTAATGCTATTTGGTATGGTTGGAAAGCATTTTTTCAGAGCTTCCCACGACGTATCACACATGGGGGTCACTATTTAAGATTTAAAGTTGGGGTGGCTGGGGCGCAGGGGTTGGAGGGGTGTGCGTCGCCAACTATGTCATTGTGATTCCCCCTTTCCGAATTACCGAAACGGATTTTGATTTTTTTTTAAATATCTCGTTTATTTACTAAGATATGGGGGGTGGTAAGTTTTCAAATTGTCACCCTGTATATAAATATCGTATGTTAACAAGTTAAAAGTGTTGTCTTACCGTCAATGTTAAAATATATTTTTATTATATTGGCGGTAAGACAACACTTTTAACTTGTTAACATACGATATTTATATATGTATATTTTAGCTACGGCCTGATGATGACAATAAATGTCGAAATCGATCGCCTAAAGGAAAAAATTTATTATAATAGGTAGTTCACAATAATACCGTTCACCCTTTTATGTAGCTTACTTTAATCTTGAAAACACCTGCGATGCTATATACAATATACATCTTTGCCATGGCATTTGGGGACCAAGTGCGAGTATCTATAGTTTTACAAACCGCGGGAGATGAACTAAAAGTGATGCTCTACGTTATAGCCGTTTTAATTGGAGGTTACTGCGCCAAAAAGGGATAATAACAGGTAAGGCGTGTTTGTGAAGGAATGAAGTGCTGTGTTGTTGTTGACAACAAGTAAAATAAAGTCAAAGTTGTAGGTACTTGATTGTCCTATTGCCGTTCGTAACTGTTAATAAAGTGTTGGGCCGTAACTGTTGTTGTCTCGATAGCACTTTTTTAGAAAATGATTTTTAGTACAAAAATCTAGCATGCCAATGTTGTTAAATTAAAGAAACGACGCTATAGTTTGTCTTGGCTTTGTGCTGCGATCTGACGCAGTTCTTTTTCGCCAATTCAAAAATACGCATTTAAGGGTACTAAATTTCACTACAATCGATTTATATTTGTACATCCAGTCGTTTTCAAGAATAACGTCAGGAACTTTTAGTCTGTAATCATATGGATAATTTGTATATGTCCAAGGTGTCCCATTTTCGACACTTTCATGGTGTATCTCCATAATTGTTAGTACTATCAAACTTAAAATGATAAAATCAAACTCAAACTAGCATTCTCTTTTCGAAATTATAACACACACAAAATTACATCCATCATCACAAGTTTCAAAAAGGATAAAAATAAATGAAACACCGAAAAGCTTTTGGAATTTTTTTCTTTATTTTTTGAATCAATTGAATTTTTTTGAAATTTGTTAATTTTTTTACTTGTTTTGAATCGCTAGAATCTTTTTTGAAAAAGTTAATAATACTTACAAAATTTAACCTTATCCGGTTAAATTTACAGGGCGTTCTATTTAAAAAATGAGGTTAAATCCATTTTTTTTACCTGACCCCCTATAATATTCTAAAAACGGCAGATTATTCAGATTATATAAAGACACTTTTGCATTCAATATAACGTATCTCTTAGAACTAAGAAAATATACTTAAAGTCATTATGAAATTTACAATTTTTGCTTTCTCCCGTATTATATAGTATTATATCTCTTAAACGAAAGTTTTCAAATTTTAGTTTTACCATATTAAGTTTAACCCAAAAAGAGGGCATGACGCCTACGCTAATTATTTTTGTTGTACTAACAATTACGAATAATATACACTATGAAAGGGTGGAAAGGACATCCCTACATCCAAAATATTCTTATGAATATCTTGATATTTCCTCCCTCGTGAATTAATTTCGATTTGCGAGAAAACAAAACTAAATTTTCGAGATTTATTAAGCCAGTCATCGGGGAACCAAAGGAGAGATTAATTGAAAATAACTCAGGAAGTAGGAAGTAGTAGATAGTATTTTGCAGTTTTACATAATTGGGTGTGTATAACCAAAGAGTATGATGTATAACTAAAATTCTCAAAATCCACAATTCAATATTTTGCACGTGCACCGATATCTTGCCAAGATGGCCGCCAAAAACGGTTTTTCGCATTTTCACCGAAAATACCAGTCTAGGCTCGAGACCTGATTAAAGTCAACATATTTCGTTAATTTCCCTACTTCTCCCCATATGAGCGTGTATATTGTCTTTTATAATAAATCTATTGAACTGTCGCTAAATTCACAGCTCTTTGACTAACCGGAATATTCTAAGGCTGCCATTGAGGCTACCTGGAGGTCAAAACCTCCAAACGAGCCCTGGGCATTGCATCCTCAGAAGGGAAAAGTACGAAAAGGGCATAGCATTGCTCCTCGATAGTCCTTTATCGAATGAAAAAACCGACGTTGATTCCGAAATAGAGATAAACATATTCAGGGTTGAAGTTAAAAATTACGTAAGGGAACTTGGAGTGGATGTAGGTCACCATATTTTTTTTAATTTTATGAAAAATATGTTCACTAATTATCTTATTTATAAGAACATGTACGTCACAAGTTGCAAAAACCTTAGGTTTTGTTACAGTACATTTACACCGTTCGACCCCATGCACGGAGTAGAACTGGGTACACATATTATTTCTTTGTAATTAAATGGTTGGTAATGTGGAAACAACAATAAATAAACAAATAAATGTAATGGTTCTCAAATTGTTATATTAATGTTATACATTTGTTATACTATTTGCACTTGGGTTTGCAGATTGAACTGTATAGCAGCTTTTTTGTAGCCCATTTCGCCATCTATTATTGCTTGCACAGCTTGCTTCATACTCTCATCGGACCACTGTTGCCGAGTAGTTTCCCTTTTGTACAAACGGAGCATCATAAAAAAATGATTTCGGTTTGGCTCAATGTGTGGGACAGAATGGGGTATTTCAAAACCGATAGTTCCGCCCCACGCTAAAAACCCCATTCCACCCCAAGCGCATGTGTTTTGTTCAAAAATAGATTACACGGGCAATGCAACAAAAAAAGTACGTAATTTCACCAGCATGCATCTTACAAGACATCCTTTATCTGCTACAATCATAAAATATCACAAGACAAGTACCTACTGTACGTCAAAATGATGACACTTTTTTACAACAATAGCTATGCGCACCAACCATTTGATGGTCTAGCCTAGCTAGACTGACTCTTCGTTTCTTGTCGCCATGCAATGCTATGTTACTGGAGTCGAGTCAGCAACAGCATTTGTGCGATAGTAGAGTACTGGACCTAAAAATTTAGTCAGTAGAGGCCATACCCGATTCTACTCTAGTATACCCCGTTCCACCTTAGGTTCCCCTATCACATGATCTATGTTGCCATTTTAAAAAATTCAACATGGTGGTCGCACTCGCAAAAACCATGTGACAAACAAAAAATGTTGTAACTTCAAAATATGTGAAATAACCAAATGAAAGCGTTCTCATTTTCGTCTATATTTCAAACGGTTTAAGCGTGAGAGCTTTGGTTCCATCTCTAATCGCGACCCTGTAAAAGCCTTACATAAATCGTTTTGGGGAACCCTACTAATAACAATAATGACATTTATTAAGCACATACTAAGAACAGATATTACATTACATTACAATTCAATAATTGTAGTCTACTTTGTCAATACATAGGCCCTATCGCAATACTTAAATTGGGAAAGCATTAAGGATTCACATCTGATTTTGGAAACATTCGGATGGATACATTTTTGTAAGAAATTTTCTCCTCTTTAATTTTGCTCTCCAAATATTTTTTCTTAAATGCACAGTTTTGGAGATATCTGCGAAAAACCGTTTTTGGCAGCCAACTTATTAGCAAAATGGCCGCAGGATTCGACTTGTGCATTTTGTGAATTTCAGTTCTACACGCACCCAAACCTACAAACCTGCAATTTGCGAGTGTTTTTCCGGGCCATATCTTTTCAAAATGATCATAAAATTGACATACCTAATATGGAACTCCAATCCGCGACCTTCAGTTTTAAGAACTCAGTCAGTCCTTAAAATTGAAGAAAACGTTGATGCGTGTAATTTAAACTTTATATTGCTTGTTGACATTTCAGAGATGGTACTTCTACATTGGCGCGGCGGTATTCTGCATATTCATAAATGAAACGAATGCAAGCTGTAGATTTACCAGCACTACCACCGAAACCGCCGAAACTGATGATGATGATGAAGAGTACGATCAATACAATTTGAATGTAGTTTCCCACCGTCCTGATGATACTGCAGAATGTTTATACATTTCATTGCAAGTGGGCCAACATTTACAAGATCAATTCACAAACCTTCATTTCTTAACAGTGAATCCCACAATCACCCATTTCATATTCGAACATAGTCGCATACCAACACTGTTCGTTTCATTTTTTAACAACTTCCCGCTCGTTACTAGCGTAAAAATGAGTTCAACCGATATAGAACAGATTCTGCCAGGCGCGTTTAATGGATTATCCACACTGCAAGTGCTTCAGTTAGATTCCAACCGCCTTACCCAAATTACTAAGGGAACATTGAATCATTTGTCTTCGTTAGTGATTCTAGACATGTCAAATAATCACATTGACTTCATCGAGAATGACGCATTTCTGGGATTGGAACATTTAGAGCGCCTTAATTTGAGTCACAATGCACTCACATCCTTTTCTCTAGAGCCGTTCTGGTACTCAAAATTTATTAGGTCAGTCGATGTTTCTCATAACCTGGTGGTGCGCACACATTCACGAAAAACATCAGTCAGAGATTTACATCCCATCAGCACCTTTCCTGTATGGAGTTTCTTTGATCGTAACTCGTCAGAAATCAACAATCAATTTGAACTAAATTTGTCTTACAATAACATTTCTTTTGTGAATTCTTCGCACATTCCACCAACAGTTTCTATTATAAATTTAGATAATAACAAAGTTTGCAAACTTACAGAACTCCGTTCTCTGACCGTATTGCGTCTTTCGTTACACCATAACAACGTATCTAATATAACCGTGAGCCCCCTGTTGGAATATCTTGATTTAAGTTGGAACGTATTTTCCAAATTTCAGCGTAACCAGTTCCATGACTCTAAAAATTTGCTTACACTTCACCTAGGAAATAATTTAATTGGCACATTGGACGATACTATATTCGCAAATACCGTAAAGATGCGGATATTATCATTAGACAACAACAAACTCAATCACATTCCTTTGGGATGTTTCAGTAGTTTATCAAAGTTAGTTTCTCTAAATATATCTGGAAATCAAATCACAAGTTTTGAGTATGGAACGTTTTCTGGTTTACAAAATTTGGAGGTATTAGATATTTCTGCAAATAATCTTAGCTACCTCTACGAGAGTACCTTACACCCGCTGGCTTCTCTCAAAAATCTGTACATGGAGCATAATTTTGTATCTTCGTTCGACCCTTATGACCTTGTGTATCATATACCTTCCCTTAAAATCGTTGCCCTTAACCACAATCGTTGGAATTGTAAGTCCTTGTTAAACATTTTCTCGTATCTAAAATCACGAGGAGTAGCAATTGCTCAAGGAACGAGAAACACAGCTGCCAACATCCATGGAATTGCGTGCGAAACTAATTCCCGTCCTTTAATTACCGATCCTTCTGGTAACAATGACACTTTACATTCTGCAAATGTCTCAATAGTTAGATTCTTTAATGATGAATTCTTAAATTCTTCCTTCTATCGCTTTTTTAATAATTACAGTAACACGCATTTTAACGAAAAGGACCTTGAAAAAGTGTTACACGCTCACCAAAATGAAATATCAAGCTCCTCCTTTATTAATCAGCTAAATACCACGATATCAAAACTGATAATGAAGTTTAAATTGATCCCTGATATGGTCACAAACTCTGGTGATCAGTTAATTGAGCAAATTTCTAAATATTTTAACAACGAATTTAAGGAAACCAGCTTTTACAAGTATTTTAACCAAAATTGGAAGGGTACTAACCCATATACTTCAAAGGAGAACCTTTTGAAAGAATTTCTGAATGTTGAATTTAAGAATTCATCGTTCTACAAATTTTTTAATCATGATCGTGGCAATCCAGCAAAATTTGAAAAGATTGTTGACAATAATGATCTGTCCACTAGTATAGCAAATTTGCAAAAGAATTTGAATACATTGCTTATTGTTATAGTACTACTTTTGTGTTGTTTACTTGTGTTAATTGTTATTATAAGTTGGAAAAATTCGTTCGACAAGCTTATAACAAAGAAGGTTGTCAACGGAGGCAATTCCCAGGCAAATATTGAACTACTGTAGTTGATCGATGTTAACTGTAAGTTAATTATTACAAATAGTTTGTGTATGTAGCTACCGTATACCCATGTACTCAATAAATTATAACAAGCATTAACGGCATGGAAGTTGTAAATCAAGTAGGATGTATCAAAAATGTGTATGTAATGTAATGTACTAAACACTCATACATATAGGGCTTTCATTTCAAAATGAACCAGTTATAGTATGCATATGCATCCCCCTCGACGCCCATACCCCACAAAATAAAATTTGGATCTGAGCTGCTTAACCCTTCAGTACACGCCTATAGTGTGGAAAAGACCGCACTACCAATGGCATCTTGGGTTTAGAATTTTAGATATGCCTTTTGGGATGTATTGACAAGCTAAAAAAACCATTCTCCACGATTATTGTAGCAGTGGTTCGCTACTTACCCACGAGTTTGAGTCAACCGCAGTCGATTCCACCAAAGCGCGTGTAGTCCAGTTCCTATGTAGAACGCCCGGAAAAGCGGCGAAAAGACCGTACTGCTCTTAGATTATGCTTTTCACTTTGGGATTTCTACAAATGCTCTTTATATTCAAGCTGTACGTCTTATTCCTATATAAATCATTCGGATTCAAGATTCCCCTAGGTTAAGGCTCGTACTCGTGGTATATGGAGTTGATATGAATGGACAATTATTTTCCGAAATATGTAGATAAATTTTCCTTACTTTTCGCCTAGATTGAAGATTTCCTTACTGGTTTTCTACGGCTTCGGCTTCCCTGAAGTCAAGATGCGCCTTGGCTGATAATGTATTTACTACTTGGAGATAAGTGTTAATGAATTGTGGCGAGTTCGAAACACGTAGTGTCCACATAGAATATTTTAGTTAGTGTTATAAAAGGGTTAAACATGCAGAAATTTGAGTGACGTGCTTTTCAGGTTCCTAAGGATAAGGTCGAGATAAATTTGTACAACGACCTCCAGTTGTTTAGTCGCCTCTTACGACACGCATTGCTTTGTACGGCAGGGGTATCCTTTCCTGCCCCTACATGGGCAGAAGTCTCCGATATTAACCAAACAAAAAATTCAAAAAGAAATAATTCAAAAGTGCGAACGTTTCCTCTACTTACGAAGAGAAGAAACTATAATCATTAAACAATTATGATGAAAGTTATTTATTTTATATTTTATGAAGTGCGCATCCTTCGCACTTTCATTTCGTGATATTTCGAGTTGCTTTCATATTATCGTTGATTCTCAGTTTTATTTCTCCTTCTGGTGCTGTAAATCTACCCATAAAGGTGACTCCGTTCGTTTCGTCGGTTACGTAAAACATAAATGGGTGGTCAGCGTGAAACGTGACGTACTCCGCAAAAGGTGAGTTCCTTGCGATACCCAAGGTTACTGAGAATCACTGCAAAATAAGTCAGATAACCATTTAAAAACACTACTTACTATCTTTATCGGACCCTGTTTCCTCAACACCACCGTAAACTGCTTGCAAAACGTTCCCAATTTTCAGATTATCACCGGTTTTTGATCCTATTGAGCTTAGATCAGCATTGTCTTGAAATGGATGGACGATTCCTAACTAAACAGTCACAGTACACTTAAAATGCATTAAAAATTATATAGCTTCATACGGATTGCAAAATGTTTACAAATGGTACTACAGCTCGTAACTTCATCTTGGGGATAAGTGCATGCACCGCTACTTTCCTGTAATGAGGCTTCCTGATCACTTTAATAATGTGGCTTTCAAGAGCTGACAAACCATCCACAGCGTTAGGTAAAACAATAGTGAAAGATGTCGTTCCGCCTCCATAAACGACTTGCAGAAACTGTGCTTTTAATTCAGTGTTCTCGAAGTAATTTAAATGCCCATTTACTTCAAGCATTTCAATTTCAACAAATCGGTTATTGTCAACGAAAAATTTCTCCACTCTTGTCAGATTTTGTGTAAAGGCTGTTGTCCATAAACCATGCATGTATACAACATTGAAAAGAATAATTTGTGATTCTCTTTCTAAAGTCTCATCCGTTACAGGGTTTCCAACTAGGTGAAGGGTCTTGTTCTCAATCCATTCGTTCATCTTGTGAAGAGCGGGAGATTTATCCAAAAAATTTAAATACTCTATTTCAGATTGAAAGTTATCCATTGCAAAATTTTTATATTGATCGCTTATCTTAAATTCGTTGTTGATATACATTTTACGACTGACAGTTTTGGTTGGAGTTTGGTTGGTGTATAGCATGGAATAAACGTCCAAAATGCGATCTTTGTCAATCGGAAGATTTAGCCCGAGAGAGATTTGTTTACCAGTATTTCCATGCGCTCCTATTCGCACTAAAGCCATTAGTGCTTCCAGGGATATGGGACAGACTAAAAAATTTCCCCGTTTTGGGAATAAAGCCTACACAACAAGTTACACTGTTCTTAAGTTAATTACGTACTTGGTGCTTGCTGGCGAGGTGCACAGAGCCACCGGTTTGTTTATTAAGAATTACCACGGTTAATCCTACTAATCTTAAGCTGACAGTAGACGTCATGTTGGGTTTTATAATTTTGCTGTCATTGCATTTTGGTTTGCAACCGCCCTCTAGATGGCCATAACACATAGTAAAATTACAGTGGTAAAATTACATTTAAGGTTTCTTCTGGAGGAGAGTGACACGTTGTAGTCGTTTAATAGCAGAAAAAACACCTTTACTTGGGCCACGGTGTACAAAAACACTTTATAACGCACTTTCCAACGAAATTACAAGCAGTTTTGTGACCACATTCTCTAACCCTTACCTCGTTGTAAACTACTTCTACAGTTTGTAACACTTACCTCGCTTATGTTTGCACTTTGACACGTGAACCAAAAACATTCCAAGAAGTGTTAAAATCCTTTGGCCGCACTCTCCATATCCGAGTTATTGAGAACCTGTCAGAACCGTAGAGTTAATGAAGTTTGCAAAAATCTCCAAAAGCCTCTAGAACTTTCTACAGGACTTTAAAGTTTTGCCCGTTTATTAGCCATTAAACCATACGACTCTTCAAGAACCGTTAACACTCGCTTTATATTACGAGCTCCATTAGTGTTTAAAAACTTTAAATGCGTTTATGGGTTTCCATGACTTTCCAAATAATTTCAAGGATATACAAGAGACTCGAAAGAACTTCTACATGCTTTTCAGAGCTTTCCATTGGTTTTTAACATCTTTGAAAGTCTAATTTAGAGTCATTAAAACTTTTTAACAACCGTCAAAACCGTAAATAAAACTGTTAGAGCCTTTAAGATTCTCCCCTCGCTTTAAAAGCGAAGCGTTTAAGAGCTTTTGTATGACCTGCGAACACATTTAGAAACCAATTGGTAGGGATTATTTACCTTTGAGTATCTTTAAGATTTTCCAAAAGTATGAAAGACACTTTTGGAGCGTTTAATACCTTCAACACCAAACCTTGAAAGACCTTAAGATAAAAAGCTTTCGTGAGTCCTTAAGGGTCTGTAAGAGAGCTTTTAATAGCCGCTTACTGTCCTGAACAATCTCCAAGAATATCTCGGATCTTGTAAATGCATCCTTCTTACTCAGCTGTCAGTGTACAAGGGCACTCTTTACAACTCTTACCAATGGCAACTTTTAAAAGGTTTTATGAATTTTTAAGAGCTTTGATGGGTCTGCAAGGGTCACCAATATTCTCAAACGGTTCCATCGGAGGGTCTTCCAGAGTTTCAGAGCGCCGTCTATAAAGGCCTTTAACCGTTTGATATTAATCTTTAAGACCTAGGGTTTGTGAGTGTTTACGAATCCAAAAATGGAATACATAATATAAAGGGTGTTATATTTCAAATAAGAAAGTTTGTATTTTTGACTGCTACATAAGTTATAACCCTCTGTAGAAAGTTTTAACTAAAAAGTTGCGCAACTAAGGATCCCAATCGACGTTTGTTTTTCACAGCACGGTTTGACACTGCAGTTTTTCTTGGAAATTATATTATATTATCAAATAATAAGATGAAAAAAAGAAAACACCAGTGAAAACCGCATTATGATATCTGTTTCCTAATATACAGGGTGATTCCTATAGTACCTGCCACCGTTTGGGAGCGTATAGGGGGTGCCTAGGGGAGTATTTTGATATAGGACACTTGGGGTCGGAAATCTAAAATAAGGGCGCCAGAACCAAATTTATCTTCTGGAATTTCACGCCTGTATGTAGGCAACCCAACCGACCGACGTTTCGCGCGGAGCGATGCAGAGCGAGTTAGCGCGAGGAAGCGACATGGGAGGGAAGGAGGGAAAACGACAGTCAAAAGCAATAACGTTTACAAGTGTTCAACGTGGCCACCGTTGTTCTCAATGCACTTCCTACATCTAGCCAACTATTATTATACTATTGCCATAGTGTTTATTCACTTGATACGCGTCGTTGCAGACGGGATTTCGTGGGTTTAAACAAAATTCTGATCAAGTGTCAGCCACACATCGCCGCCTGAGATCGCTCCGTGTGCACCGCCGGCCGGTTGGGTTGCCTACCTACAGGCGCGAAATTCCAGAAGGTAAATTTGGCTCTGGCACCCTTATTTTAGATTTCCGACCCCAAGTGTCCTATATCAAAATACTCCCCTACGCACCACCTACACGCTCCCAAACGGTGGCAGGTACTATAGGAATCACCCTGTAGATATGACGAAAATACGCACATTGACAAATTTATATTCATCTAAGTTGGTTTTGAAACAAAAGAAACACAATGTCACGTATTACCCTATCCCCTTGAAGCTTGGAAACCAGGCGAATCATGTATTTTCAACGCGATAGGTGCAAAGCACATTTCTCGGTAAATAAATGTGCGACATTATTTGAATTTGCGGTATCCTGGCAAATTGATAGGAAGAAATACTATCTTCCTCGGGTGGAACCACTAGCAGCCAGAATCGCGTTTTGAAACGTATTCCTAGAGAAGCAAGTATCACATCCGCTTGCAAGCAAAATCGAAGACATGATAAGAGAGAATGACGAAAATTCCTGGAAGAGTCTACTCACATTCGCCTCCTTTGCACTACGGGAAAGTCTCTAACTGCCGCTGTCAAACATAATGTGGAGTCAATAGACACCGGGTGCGATCCTAGTCCTATCAAGAACCACTCTGGCAGTTCTGCAACTAGACGAGTCGAGTCGAGAGTAGGTATGGAAGAGGCAATTGGCCTACTTTCCTTGGAAGAGGATGATGTTGCGAAAGCTGCCTCTACAACTCTACACTGTTGCTACTCAAGGAAAAATACCCCCATCATAGCCGTCATCTAGAATTGCCTGATCGACCCCAAAGCGAATACATCTACGAGAGGGTTACCGCTGATGACATCTCGGGAGCAATCCAACTATTTCCAAACGATGGAATTCGTGCGCAGCACTTAAAAGATTTTAATTGGACTCCGCGCTATAGCCAAGAAAGACGAAATAATTCGTCCAATCGCCGTGGACTTTTCGAAGGATCGCAGCCAAAATTGCCTGTACACACATGGTTCCTGAAACGGGAGAAGAACTCTGCCCCCTAACAACTTGGCGTCAACACTAAAGGTTAGTTGTGAAGCTGTGATACACACGACAAGAACGTTCATTAAGCTATGCTAAGATACGGATTGCATCCTCTTAAAAGTGGATTGTCGAAATGTCTTCAACTTAATAGAAAGAGGCCAAATGCTTGCAAAAGTAAAACGGAAAACACCCTCCATATACCGCTTCCTGTACCAATGTTATGCAACCCCCTCTTCCCTTTTCTTCAAAACGGAGACCATACCTTCTCAAATCTGAGCTCAGCATCCATGCGGACCTTTTATCTTCAGCGTTAAAATCCACCCAATAATCCGAGAATCGGATCTGAATCTCTGGTACCTGGATGAGGGAACTATACCAGGTCCACCTAAGAGTGTGCTGGCAGACCTGATGACACCCAAGGAAAGGTTAGCCAAATTGCGGCATCTAGGATTCGACAATAGCAGTTTAACATGGTTTCAAGCTTATCTGAACGATCGTTTTCAAAGAGTTAGACTTTCAAGTGCATCGTCAAGTTATATGAAGATTGATAGGGGTGTTCCGCAAGGAAGTGTGCTCGGTCCCTTACTTTTTTCAGTGTTTACCTACGACTCACCTACATGTCTTCAACACCTTCAATATCATCTTTATGCTGATGATCTACAGCTATACATGGAATGTAATGAATCGAATGTGGAAGAGATTATTGATGCTATAAACTCAGATCTTCTCAACATGCAAACGTGGTGTGAAAAGAACGGCTTAAAATTAAATCCCATGAAATCTACAGCTATTTGTGTCGGTCCCGAACGAAAGTCAGACATTGTGTGTAGTTTCCAATTAACTCTTATGAACGATTCCATTACATGGTCTAATAGTGTTAAAAATTTGGGTCTTACATTAGATACTAGGTTAAGTTTTAGTCAACATGTAAATAACGTAGTTAGACTGTCGTTTCTTAAGCTCAAGTCTATTTATCACTTGAAGTTTCTGCTCAGTGAAGCCGTTAAAAACAAGATAGTTAAATCCATAATTTATCCTCATATTGACTATTGCTGTATGGTGTACTATTTTTTTCTTACAAAGAGTGATCAAGCTAAAATTGCAAAAAATTCAAAATTCGTGCATAAGATTTATTTGTAATGTACCGTTTAGAGAGCATATTACGCCCTATTACCAGAAACTGAACGAGTTGAAAATTAATTGTCGGGTCAGATATCTATACACGTTATTTTTATATAAATTGTTACAATGCAAAGTACCACTGTATTTATGTCAACTGTTAATTAGAAGGTCTGTCGTGCATAACTTAAATTTAAGGGTTAATTCCTTCACAATACCAAGGCACAATACTAAAAAATTTCAAGGCTGTTTCGCTTATATGGCACCGTCCCTGTTAAATTGTAGATTGGATAAACTTAACAAGAATTATATACAGTTCGCAAAATCGACTAAAGAACTTTATCTAAGCAATAATTTTTAGTTTTGTGAGGCGATTTTTTTCTCTTTTTGGTTTTTGGTTTTTAAAGGGTGAATTGAAAAACGGCATTGCCGAATTCATTCCTTTTTTGAGCTACTTTTTCTTTTTTGTTGTTATATTTTTGTTTTGTTTTATTTTTAAAGCTCAAATAAACTTTATTATTATTATTATTATTATTATTATTATTATTATTATAAAGGTTTCAAAAAAATGGGAAATTCATTCAATCCCTCAACATGTGAGCTGTTCTTTTTAAACTATTTTCAACAAGAAATCCTAGATCCATTCGAGTCGCTCTGCCCGGGAATCAAGGTGGTTACGGATTTCGAGTTACTTGGAAGCGCCATCGTATCATCAGCCGTTCTCCGTAAGAAGCATTGCTTACTTACCTATCCCAAAACTGACTTATCTACTGAGAACAACTCATTTATGGAACCACATGAATTTGATCTGAAATCAAGATTTTAAAGCAGCACTCAAAAGCATCATGAACTGTAGCCTTACCGAACTACAATGGACGATCTCTTCTTTCCCAATACGCAACGGCGGACTCGGCATAAGAAAAATTTCTGACGTAGCCTTCTCCGCCTTCTTGAGCTGTTTCGAATCAGTGAATTGGTGTGCTGCATGCTAAACTTTTCACCAAAAGGTTCAATTTCTGACTTGGAAGAAGCCCTCACAACTTGACCCTATTACTTCTAGTATCAAGGCGAAGTGGGCCGAAGTTAAAATAGGACAACTCATTACCGGTTGATCCAAGGGATAAAGTCCATTTCATCGCGTCTACTTGCCCTAAGTCAAATAGATGACTAAATTGCGTTCCGAGCAGAATGTTTGACACCAGCTTAAATAACAATACCTTCCGAACATCCATCGCTCTTCGACTAGAACTGTTCCGCATACACCATTGCGTCGTCCTAGTAGACGAACTACACGGGTTATCCTCACAAAAGTCGCCATTCCAGACACGGGGAAATTAACAACTTAATTCATAGAGTATGCAAAGCTCCCGTCCATTGTTAAGCTAATCGGTTTGAGTAGAGATGACGGCAAGCGGGTGGATGTCAGCACCTTTATTGAAAGGGAAACCGCTCATTTGGGACGCTACTGTGATATCCTGGGGGACTTCATCTATCATGCAACAGGTGAAACTAGGTCAAAGTGCTATCTTAAGCAAAGAAATCAGCTTGGCCATTGAAAGAGGTAGCGCAGCCAGTCCTATGGGAACCAATGAGTGAAATTTTTTATTCACTTTAACAATTTTTTATCCACTTACTGTTACTCTGTGAGATTATTAGTTGTGATGGTTTTTTTTATGTGAAATGTACTACCATTGATATAAAAAAGAATCTCTTGCGTGACCTTTAGTGCAAAATAAACAGCTTTCTTTTACCCCCTTAACCGCAAAATCATTGATAATTCAGCATTCAAACGATACCGAATCGAATGTACTAAAATTGACGGAGTAGTTTGAATAACGTGGAGGTTTTTTTTTTAAAACAACGATGTCTTTATTATAGATAATAATCGCTCTTAAAAAGTTATTTTTCAATATATTTTGATACGTCGAACACCAAGTGTGCCTACTGCGGCACTAAGAGTCTCTGGTACGAATCCAGGTTCGAGCATGGATATTTGTAAATGTATAGTGGGTTGGGGTGGTAGACCAGCCCTTGGCTGAAACCCCTCCCATTTAAAAGTAAAGCCCAAAATAAATAAATAAAAAGATCTGGAATGTATTGATTAAAGAGTAACCATATTACTCTTTGGTATTGATCTACCCATGCAAACAACACTGTAAAAATACGGTACCTACGCATTCCAAGTGGCATGTTGGTATCCTTTAAATGCATGATTATTCCTATTTCAAGCGGGAATCCTCCCAACGTTTTGGTGTATCTCTTACTTTTAGTTTAAATTAAGGATAAGACACGCTATGACTATATTGTGTATTTTATACAGTGCTATTTATTCAGAAGTAGACATAGGGATTTACGTATATTGTTTGTCTACTTTTAAATGACAAAATCTCTTCTGAAGGGCGCCTAGTCTAGTTTTATTCGGGGGTAAATACACAAGAGCTTGATTTTTATCAGATAATTTAATTTTTACACGAAAGTTTTGTTGCAACGGAAAAAACTAGAGATTGAAAGTGTGATAAAATCGCGACAGCTTTAGCTGGAGCGATTTTATCATGTGCTTTTGATCGAGAGTTTTTTCCAGAAGGCAACAAAATTTGAGTGAATTAAAAATAAAATTATCCTGATTTAAAACCAAGATCGAGTGTATTTTAGGGATATTAATAAAAAGTCAGTCAGTCAATTTTAAACCACTATATATTTTACGCATTCCTACGCGCATTTTTATCGCTGATAAAAGGCTACCTAGCTTTTAATCAGATAAAAACTCGTCTGATTGGTTAGAATTTGAAACAATCACCAAGCTGATTGGTCGTATATTAAAAAAGTGTATTAATCATCCAAAATAACTTCTCGAAACAAATAAAGATCTAGCTGTCATTATTAATTAATTTGCACATTGTTATTTTGACTTCACATAAAATAAATCTCTTACGCTCCTTGAACTGTTACCGACACTATACCAATTGACAGCATTAATTTTTTTCTTCAGTTGAATACATCGGATACGAACGAAGATAGAAATACAAAAGCCAAAGTAACAATATTCAAATTAATTAATCTGTCAGCCAACCTTTATTTGTTTTAAGAAGCTATTTTGCCACTTAAGACAAAGAGTATTTAAAAGTAGACATAGGGTGCAACCATGCATGTAGATGTCGACTTCTTAATAAATAGCACTGTATACAGTAAAACTGCAATTTTACACCCAAATCTACAACTTATAGTACATCAAATAGTAACTGAACGTGCATACAACGTCCCAATTTAGATCTACTAGATCCACAAGATCCATCCTTACGTGATATGGTTAGACAATCCTATGTGCCCAACTTTATAAAAAAAAACGTAGAAGTATTCTCAACAATTCCATCTAAATACAGTTTAGTCACTAAAATGATATTTAGATATCTCTACTTACCATATTTAAAATAATACATGACTTTAATTGCACCCTACATACAGTAGTTTCCTGTAGATGTCACCGAATTCTCAAAACTATACTCACCTCATCCTTACAACAAGCTGTGGTTTACCTACCATCGCTATACGACGCATCGAATAATACTCAAATACCTACCCTTTCTAATGCTTTTCTAATAGCTTTATCACATTTAGCTCATTAGCTGAGAGGAATCAACAATATCGAGCTCTGTAATTCTAAAAAAAAACATAAAATGCATTCAGTTTTCGCTTATTTTTTGTAGTTGAGGAGAAAGAGGTACAATCCTTTTATACATTTAATCCCGTTGATTTTAGGTTTAGTTGGTAACTGCAATTCCTATAGTAATCGTAATCGTATTCTACTATTTAGTAGAACCTAAATAATACCATTGTTTATTCATAGCAAACAATTATAGTACTAATAAAATAATTAGGTTCTCCAAGACGGCGCAATTTGTTGGTGACTGAAACATGAAATTGCTCAGAACAACTCAAACAAAAATTGCCGATTTCATATAAGCACAGATTTAAATTAGTATATTTATATCTGTGATATAAGTAACAAAATACAAATGGCTGCAGTGGAGATTGTTGCTTGAGATGCAAATTCCAAATCTTTCATTCCACTGCACTCACTGCAGCTCTTTTTTTCACAATGTGGGATCAAAACGATACGCCTACGGTGAAAATTAACCCCTTGTTGTAGAAGACGTTTAAGAAGTTTACAACTGATTATCTTCAATGCTGTATTTTCTACTTGACTGGTATTATCTTGGGTTTATAGTTAACCTTATGCCTTGTACATTTTTTTTGCTGCAGTTTGTAGTAAAGTTTGTAGAAAAGATCTGTATAAACATCTGTATATCAAAAGAAGTACACCCACCTCCGAAACATTAACGACTACATTATCAAAGAATACTATTACATGCCTACAAATAAGTAAATCACAATATTTGTTACTTACTAATGTCAGTTTTTAGGAATTTATTGCATATCAGTGTGATTTGAGTAACGACCCATAAATAAGAGTATGTTGGATTTACGATCGTGAACATAAAACAAAAATGGATTCTTGACCAAAAATGAAACCTTGGAATACTGTGCTATTCCAATTCTGTCGATAATTTCAACTGCAAATAACACATAACATTAAAATCGTAATTGAATCCAAATGCAGCGATTACGTTTATTTATAAGCAGCGCTATAAAAAGGAAGACACCAAAATGGAGGAAACCTCTTTATGTACAACATGCAGTTTTTATATAATATATAGGTACACTTATTTACACGAAATAAGCAAGTCATTTGGTATTATTTTCGTCTTTTATCCCGCTCACACGTTATCAAAATGATATTTTAATTCTCAAACTTTATTGCAAATAAAACATAAAACCACACGACACGGTAATCACAAGATTATGCTTGAACGTATCTTCCAATAAATAGGACACCGGCATCCTCATGGCGTAATACAAATAGGAAGGGACGATTGACAAAGAATTCAAATGTTTGAGTTCGCATACCACTTCTCCTTGATGCGAATACTGGAACGAAAATCATAATTCATTATAGGTAATTTATTAGTGGTAATCGATAACAATGTAGTGCTTGCCCTGCTGTTAAATTACATTGTTAGTTAAACCCATAGTTAATGCAGTTATAAAATGTGTTTAATTGACGCACGTAGTATGTAGGCCTTGATCAAAATTATTGCTGTATACAGAGAGTTCAATTATCGGTATGTAAGAAAACTAGGTGGTAGAGGGAATCAAAACATAACTCTTTCCAAATACACAAAGGGTTTTTTTCATTTTTGGATTATTTCTTACCAACCATAGCAGATGGAAGGATGGTGCACGTTCTACAATTCTGACTTTGGCACCTTTGGAGGCCCTTGGTTTAGGAAAAGAAAGTATATATTTTGTTTGGTCCCCTCGGAACCCCTTTTTGCATACCGTGTATATAACGTGGCAATTAATACAGCAATGTATTTTCGGAAGCTTAAAAAGCAGGCCATAAAGCAATGCATTCTATGTTTTATTACTGCTTCAATTTTAGCGATTATTGATAACTGTCTTCCATGATTTCGTTTCAGAGCTCGTGCCTGGATAACTTCTTAAAGTTTTCAGACCATAAATCAACGATGAATGGTTAAGTAGGTACGTATCCAGTGGAAATTGTCGAATATTTTCAAAAACCAAAGACTTTTGATATCTACTGAGATAATCTATTAGTGTTCGGGTGAAAAGGTGAAACCTTACACAAGACGTTATATATCAAAGAAGATATCCAATGACGTAATTGATTCAATGTTCAAATTGCTAAAATGCTCTGACCGATTTGAACTTTAGACTTTATTAATGTCAATATCGCATTCACATACAATTAATCACATACAATTAATAAAGCTTACAAACTTCAATACAATACGACTCGAGGCTCAAATTTATTGGGCATTCATGTATCTTCCTATAAAAATTACGCCCACGTCTCTACTGCGCAACGTTAATAGGAAGGGACGATTGGCAATGAATTCGAAGGTCTTTAGTAGTTTCACGTTACCACCACTTTTCTTGGATATGTGTACTGGAAGCGAATAAAAGTTCATTAAGCTTTTTACATTTTGGGCTATTTAATTTGATTAAAACGTTAACATTCGGGAAGATGGCAGTTCGGAAAGAGTAAATAAAAAAAGTATAAAGAGTTGCCATGCATTTTTTAATACCCCAATACCATTATAGTATTTACATTGAGATGTTACAAAGGTTTTTATTGGCGACATGCTAATGTGAAAAGTATTTTAATAGCGATGAATTATAAAGAGCGCACAATATTTTGTTCAATAATTTTTAAAACATTTTTGGACATTTTGATATAGCACACATGAAAAAATGTTAATGTTTGCGGAATGTACACAATGATTTTTATTTTTTAAGCAATAATTTTGCAAATTTTATAATAAAGACAAAAATTCAATGCACGCAAGCCAGAACCACTTTTTAAGAAATTTTTCAAAAAGAAAATATTGCACGTGCATGTGTTTTGATAGTGAAGACAGTGATCTCAATCCGTCACTATTGAGTCTTATGAATCAGTGTTATTATTAATCGAACCAAAACACTGAACACGATTCTTCGTATTTTGGTTGATTTCTTATAACATTTTGACAGTACCTCCTCTTCTAAATGTAATAAGAGCAAGTAGAACCACACCATCAAATGGTATACCTCTCAAATTTTAGTGTTACATTAATTGAACATTTTCAACACAATTTATTATTTATTATTATTTATTACTGCTAGAGCCGGTTTTGTGACATGATTTCTGGAAATCAAGGTTATTATACTTGCACCACTGCCAGTACTACACTTATCAGTAAATTAACGAAATTAACTTAACAAACCATAATTCTACCACTTTGGATATTTGTAAATGTATAGTGGGTTGGGTTGGTACAGCAGCCTTGGCTGAAACCCCGCCCATACAAATACAATAAAAAAACTTTGAAAAAAATAAAATAAAAAGGTTCAATTGATAACAATTGGTAGAATCCAAAACATGAAAAGCGCTTTTTACCATTAGAGTTTTCAAATTGATCTCTACCTGTCTTATAAACAACCATAGGAGGTGCGCAATTCAAGTGAAGTTGTCGAAATGTTTGACGTAAAATGTGAAAAGATTGACGACGATAGGTACGAAACAATTCACAACGAAGGAAACGCGATTTAAATCCTATTTTTGGTCGACTTTTCTACCAGTATTTTGGGATATTTTGAAAAATCGATATCGTCAATATTTTAATGTTTGAAAACCTCCATTTTTTCGATGCTACCTTATAGTCTCGCATGAGGCCCAAAAAAACACCTCCATCGTGTACTGTAAAAGAGTTTACCCCGACCTAAATGCAATTGAACAGTCGCATTGTATGGTAAGACGTATGTCACACCATTTCTGATGTTTTAATAAAGGGATGAAGTTAATGTACTCTCGGACTACTAGGCAGTGATCGATTAGTGACGCGATTTAGATCGCCGATATAAACTACGTGATGTGCCTGCGATCTAGCGTAGCACGAGCAGAATGGCACCGAGTCGCTATCGTGGAGCATTACTTTTTAGGTAATCGAAGAAATCCGAAAAGTTTCACATATAAAGTATAAAGTATAAAGTGATTTATTAGCATCTTGACATATATGGTATATGATAATGCAAGTCAAGTACAAGAATAGATACACAAAAGAAGATAGTACACACGGCTCAGTTTCCTTCACAGAGTTTGCAATTCGTAGAATTCATTTAGTGAATAGAGGGCTTGCCTATGTAAATATTTCTTAACTATATTTTTGAAAGAGTTGAAATTATTGATACTTTTAATTTTAGAGGGCAATGAATTGTACAACTTTTTGCAAGCATAAAACGGTGACTTCTCATAAAAAGTCGATTTGTGCAAATCTGTCCGTAGCAAGTCATTAAATCTTGTATTGTAATTATGATGTGAGTTATCGCTAAATTTTGTTATATTACGCTTTGCATACTTTAGACAGTTGTAGATATAAATTGAGTATATCGTCATAATTTTATGCTTTTCGTTCTACAAGATTCCCTTTTATTTAGGTTGAATATCAATCGCAAGATTCTCTTCTGAGCAATAAATACCCTATTAATGGAGGCAGCTTGTCCCCATAACATGATATTATATGTTAAGTGCGAGTACGCTAGAGCATAATAGACATTCACTAGGCACGCCATATCAACCATATTTTTTATTTTATAAATTGCAAAGTAGCAACTGTTAAGTTTCGAAGTAACATGGTCAATATGCTGTTGCCACGAAAAAGAGCCATCGACACTAACTCCTAGGAACTTTACATTAGTTTCCAAATATAATTTGGATTTAGCCAGCCCTGAACTCAATATTGAATCCGGCAGTTTCTTTTTACTAAAATACAAACATTTTGTCTTAGCAATATTAAGAATCATACCATTGTCTGTACACCAAGACTTAAAAGCACACGTTACATACTCCACACGAGCTAAGAGTTCCCCAGTAGAAGGTGCCGCCACAACCATTGAAGTGTCATCAGCAAAGATTGTAATATTATTCGTTGTTATATAGTTTGGCATATCATTCATAAAAATAATGAATAATAAGGGCCCCATCACAGATCCCTGGGGAACACCCAGCTGAACAGGGTACTCTTCAGATAACTGATCTCTAACCCTAACAACTAACCTCCTGTGATCCAAGTAGTTGCAGATTACATTTAAGGTAGCTCCGCGAATGCCCAAAGCTGATAATTTGTCTTTTAGAAATCTGGGGCTGACAGTATCAAACGCTCTCTGTAGATCAAAAAACAATCCTATAACTAGGTTACCGGCGTTCAGTTCATTGTAAACGGCTTGCATAAAATGCGTAGTTGCATCTTCAGTTGAAAAATGAGGGCGAAAACCAAATTGGCAGTCAGTGAGTAATTTATATTTCGACAAAAAATTTCGAATTCTAAACACAATTATTTTTTCTAATAATTTTGAGAGGGTACTTAAGAGGCTAATTGGCCTATAATTTTCAACATTTGCTTTATCTCCTTTTTTAAATAAGGGAATGACGATAGCCAACTTGAGGGCATTTGGAAAGCAACCAGTATTTATTGCCAAATTAAAGACGAAGCTTAACGGATGTGCTACTGTGGTTGCAATATGCTTCAGAATTTTAGTCGAGATCTTATCAGAGCCCATCGAATTTGACATTTTAAGATTGTTAATGTAATGTACTATTTCCTCCGGCGAGATAGGATCGAATACTATAGAATTTTGGACATGGATACCTGTCGTGCACTTTGCGGATGGCGTTTGAAAATGTTGGTTAAGTTTATTTTTGGCAACGTTTGCAAAAAACTTTCCAATGAAATCAGCAACCGTTTTCGGGTGACTAATTTCCTCTCCTTTAATATCAAGACAGATTTCATTAGTGGTGTTTTTCTTATTACGGTTTAATTGAGAGTTTACAATACTCCAAACTTTTTTGGTCGTATTGTTAGCTGACTCTATTTGTTTCGAAAAATAGCGTTTTTTATACCAACTAATTTTGTGGTTGAATTCTTTTTTGCGCTTTTTGTAAACAGCATAGCAGTTAGGGTCATTTAACTGTTTAACCACCCAATACAGATTATTTACTCTCAAGTTTTAATGTTTCACAAAACCATGGGTTTTTATTCTGTTTGTGGGCTTTATTTGTTGAAACAAAGGAACAGAATTTGTTAATGTTCGTCTGTAAAATATGTATAAATGACTCCAATGCTTCATCTGCATTGGAGTGACTATACAGTTTATTCCAAGTTTCTTCTATTAAGTGGTTTTGTACAATATTTCATTTCTTTTGAGAAAAGTGTTGTTTGGACTTTGGACTGTTTTGCTTATCTCTCGAGGTATTTACATTGAACTCGATTATTTGGGCTAAGTGATCGGCAATGTTCGGGTTAACATTTTTAACCTTATAGGAAGTAAGATTTGTCACTATATAATCAATAGCCGAAGAACTAGTGCGATTGTTACAATTAGTATAAGTTCTAGTTGCAAGAAGGACAGAAACACTTAAATTAAAAGAATCAAATATATCACACAATAATAGTTTTTTAACACTGTTCGAATTATAGTCAACATTAATATCCCCACACAAAATTAAATTGTCACTTTTTTTCAAAACATGAGCAAGACATAATGACAGTTTATTTAAAAAAAGATTATAGTCGCCTCCTGGAGGTCTGTAAATACATACCACACAGAACGAGATATCACAAGCACTTATTTTCACCGCAGAAATTTCAATGGATCCTTCAACGCTGAAGGAGTGGTCATAACGGAGGTCCTCGACAGATTTGAATCTTGATAGCATATCTGTACGCATAAAAATAGAAGCTCCCCCATGCTTCATTTTTACTCTCCAAAAGCTTGCAATAATAGAGTAGTATTGAGGTGCATAAATCGGAAGATCTCCACTCGATGCCCAGTGTTCCGTAATACACATTATGTCTAGTAAGTTTGCGTTCACTAAAAAGTGTTCCAGTAAATTAATTTTGTTTCTTAAACATTGCACGTTTACATGCCCAAGTGATAGGCGACACATTACATTATTGATATCTGCACTACATTTAAAACTGGGCATGTTGCTGCCTTCGAAAAAAACGAAACTGTTTTATGAAAACCCCCGCGGGCCAATTTTCACCTTTGTACAGTTCATCAATTAATTCGATATCGGCTCCTACTTTGAATGCGATGCTGCGCGCATCGTCCCTTTTGGGTAGCTGTTCAACTTCAAATTGTGAGTTCGGAAACTTCTCAGTTAAATAATTTTTAATTTTGGAATTTTCCGTACCTAAGGCTACTCTACCCACATACAGCCAAGCACGTTTTTGAATTGCGCAAAAACCGGGTCCATTTAGACTAGGTTCAGCTTTGCCAATAACCAGGTTTTTTGGTTTATTGTCCCCTGTATTATTAATATTTTCTGATTTGTCTATACGTGATTTCCTATCACAACGTACAGCAGATGGGCTTTGCAATATTTTATCACGCGTCACACCGCTAGCC